CCAACAGCTAGTGTTGTTAATGTATGTCAGTGTTTCGTTACAACAAGATCTCATGCATATAGCGTCCTTTTTAGGGAAAGTAAGTGGTTCCTCGACCTCCAGTATGGATTGTTCTGATCTTCATCTATGATACTAGCTGTACCTCAACAAATTCTGGCAAAGTATTGTCAACCTGGTTCTACTACCTCGCTGTGATATTGTATGACGTCGTGATTGTGACGATTTCGACCATGCATCTTCTACGTTATAACCCTCTCAGTAGCAGGTGCGCCTCTTATATTATGTCTTGATGATCGCTAAACCATTGCTGTTAGAGTAGAGCAGCTGATACGAGTGTAAGTCCCTAGCTACTGGCAGGGTCAATGCACGTTGCTAATCATTCTTAGCCTGATCTATGATGGCATTGGATATTTCATCGTGTTGTCTGGCAAGTACGCCCTGCGTATAATAAGCACCCTCCTGACATTTCCTCAGCATCGAATGTGTTGAATCTCGTCTTTTATCATACACCCAATATCCAGACTCAGGTACGTATGCTCAATTACGGATACACCACTTTGACTCACTCCTATTATTAGACGGCAGGGTAAGCTTCGCATTGGATAACATCAAGGAGACCAGACCACTCAGAACACCATTAGGGCATCAGTAGGCTATGCTGTAACATGGATTATGACCCAACGGATCCTCATCAACGTACGAGGTGCGCGCCACTCCACAGCTTTACTGCTATTCCACTAATGCTCGCCGCAATGTTCATTCGTTCCGTTACCTTCTCTCCATTCACGCACATCTACAAAGAAAATATAAAACCAGACCCTCAACACTTGGAAAATGTGATCGTCGCGCGTCCCACACACGGTGCGCAGAAGAAAATGTCCGGTCTGCGCTCACAGTTCGAGCCCAAGAGTCATTCCAAAGGCTCTACTAGTAAAAGCGCCGGCGATGCGGAATTCAGGCCCCCATCGCATTGCACTTCCAACGACATGGAACTCGATATACACGTACGCGTCGAGCGCTCGGTGATGGTGGACTACAAGGACGAACCTGAGCATTCGAGTTCGTGGGCGGAATGAATCTGAGGCACTGGGCATATCAAAGAAGAAGGGATGGACATCCGAGTCTGGTATGGGTGACTACCCAACACTGCGATATTAACATACAAATATCCACCTAGTTTTACTATCAAAATCTTAGGGCTTCTAATTCTTAGGTCGTCCTCGTTCATAACATATCCGGCGAGCTGTTCAAGGTTTCCTGATGTTGGCCGAATCGTGTAGCCATAGCTGCTTACTCCGAGAAATGTTCGGTGCAAATAATTTGCCCGCCATCCGGAAAGTAGAAAATGGGTAAAACATTGATGACATCATTGATAATGAATGTTTGGTTCGTGACCGGTGTAAGAATCAATTCGTGTAGTGCCGCAGCGGGCTGTAAGTATGGAGCAAACTTGATCGGTTGTATTCACCGAGGAGTTGGCAAGTATGTCAGTTATCACAATTGAGATGCATTCGAAGATCTGGGGGTGACTTTTCGACGTACGACGTAGGCTCCTGACACCGACTGGTGTTCAACATTCAACATTCAAATTGAAGCTGTGCACAGTGTCTCCTTCCTTGTCAAACCACCTTCTCTGTTTCCGGCTCACTGACATGACATTCACATGTTAGAGCGGGCCCACCCAGACTGTACATCCTGTAGACCACCAAACGTCAACTCAGGCGCTGCATGTAGTGTCTTCTCTTACGTATACCAGCTCCCTTGATAGAATCATGCGCGAGGGTTTTGTGTTCAAGCGATTGGAGACATAATATGAGAGATATCTTACACCGAAAATCAAGTCCTATGAGGATTGGCCTCTTGGCAGATACATCAACATTATGCCACTACATAGCTACTCCGTGCACGAGGTTTAGAAACACCCACACAATATACCGCTTCCATGCTCTCCGGTGGTAATCGGCGTTGCTGCGGGTGGTTGCTGTGAATGGGGATCGAGTGAGGAAGGACGAGAAGGAACATATTCTTCGTCGGGTATGTAGTCTTTATTCTTCTTGGGAGCACCCGCTGCAGCGTTGCGCTACAAATGGATCCATAATCGTGTAGTACAGTGAGAAAATGAATCCAGCACACCTCTTTACCCTGCGCGAGAGGAGTGATGACAACAGGCGGTGGTGCATGACCTGCACCAACAGGCCACCAGGTTGATAGCTGGTGTAGGCGAGATTTGAAGGTTGTTGCAGCAGAGATTTGAGTGGTGGACGGTGGTGGTGTGGATCGAGACTGAAAAGATGCAGGTTGAACATGTGATTCAGGTAGTCGATAGTTAACAACTCACGTTCTCGCGGGAATCTGTATCTAAATGCCTTTGAGTTATGGCCTGTACGGAAAGAGCACGAGGTAGGGGCGATGTAGCAGGGAACTGCACGGGACCGTCAAACCAGTTGCGAAGGAACGAGGTAGAAGGGACATATATCTAGAGGGTCACGAGGCTCATCATTCCGAATAGGATGACCTGCATGGGTGCGAAAAGGAAGAATTTTGCGGAGGTAGCGAATGAGGTGTTGCTTTGGGTGTGTTGTGGAAGGAGGAGGCCTGAGCGTGCGGGGAACGGGGACTATCACTGGCTTACGACGGGGTGTTGCATGGGACTGCAATGATGATATATATGAACGGGGTGGTATACATGGCTAAATGAACGTACGTTAAGTATATCAGGATTTTTGGTCGTCTGCAAGAGAATCAACAGATAGATAGTACATGCAAGGGAATACATACCTTAGACTGTGCATCTTGTGCAGGCCGGACACTAGAAAGGATGTCGGGTGGAAGGTCGTAAATGTATATGTTGCTGTAATTCCATTTGGTGTAAGCCAGTTGGTATGAGTTGGGCGAGAAGACGAAGAGGTCGACACGGCGGTCGTCAAATGAAGCGAGGAGTTGGCGGGATTCGAAGGCCCATAGCTTGGTGGTGTGCCGAGAAGCGCTGGTGATAAGAGCATAATCAAATGAAAGTGCTAGACGATGGATGGGGTAGGTGTGCCCTTCGAAGGGAGCTCCGACGATCTCTAGCGTCAATGCGTCAAATTCATAGATCGTGTTGAGGTCGACCGAGTCGGATTCCTTGTCCTTGAAATCAAATACGGCTACGATGGATTTGTCTTTGGTTGTCCAGAATATTGGCGTCAGCTTTTCCCCACTCTGACATCCAATTTCTGTGTTTGGACATCCCATACCTCAAGTCACCTCCCTATGTCTGACGAGATTGCGAACTTCTTCGAGTCTTGCGAAAATCGAACCACCCCGGTCGAATCATATGGATCATAGGGTAATGGACCAGCCACAAGTTTACCAGTTTCCATACTCCATATCCGTACACCATCCCACGACCCGCCCACCAGCAGTGTCCCGTCCGCAGAGACATCGATGCAATGGATCCAATTAAAGCAACCCTCAAATGTTTTCACGATCCTCGCCTCAACATTACGGGCTTCGAGCTTCCCGACAGGGTCGTCATTGTATCTTACAAAAGTCGAAGTGACAACTCATCGACCATCCCGAGACAATGCCACCGTCCGCACTGTTTGAATCTCCTTGCCAGTCCGCAGATCCCACTGTCGAATGGTCTTGTCATACGATGCGCTGACCATTCCCTTGCCGTCTGGAAGGTAGGAAATGGATGAAATTCGACTTTCAAGGAAGCCATCTTCATTTCTGACATCTTCATGGCCCTTCAAGGTCATGTCCGGTTTCAGCGTCAAATTTTTCGTTACCCTAGCGGGCTCCATCGAGCTGGAGGCCATAGCCGATATCTTTACCGGCGAGGTTGAGTTCGAACTCTGAAGGACCGCTGGTGAGATATCCTGGTATTCCATAGACCTGACATTGATAGGCATTTCGAAGATGTCTAGATCGTGAGAACACTGCAGCGTTTTCCCTGCTAAAATCAAACGTCAATTTTTCTGCGTTGGAGATTCGGATTGGGGAGCATGATGTTACCAAGAGGCTGACTGCAATCGTCTGATGATGAGCGTCTGGGCACATCCACCTCTTTATAAGCTCTTCCTGTACACAGCATGTGCTTTTTTAAGCATTCATTATTTTAAACCGGCCTCTCCTTTCGCGTTCAACCTACAGCCTCCATACTTGCTGTAGAGCGAGCGTCAGTTCACGGCCCAGGCGCTCCGACCGTAGCATCTGCAGGTAAGTACAATGTATGTGTCGTCACGAGTGATGTTTGTAAACATGCAAATGACTCGGGATGCAAGGAGGGATTGATATTCGGGGTGAGACAGTGGAGGCGGGCCTTCAATGTGGTGGTAGGGGGTGAGGTAGTGGGCAGTGCTGGTGTACGTCGAGGCTGATAAGAAGTGAGTTGGATGACAGTGATTAGAGGAGTGGATGCTCACATTCTGGCGAAAATTTATACGTAAAAACCCTGAGTCGAGGCCTGTGCCGAAGGCGAGCGCTTTGGAGGCATGGGTGATGTAGTAATGAACTGTAAAGAAACATATAGGGTTATCTGCAAAGGAAACATGTACAATAGACATACATCCCAAGGATCACAAATTTGATCATTCCGAACGGGAGGAACCACGCTCGTGCCGGAAGAAGGAAGGAGGAATGAAGGAATGCAGGATGGCGTTGGCAGAGGCGTTAATGGGCGGGGACATGAGATATGACAGACGCTATCATTCGCTTACAGCGCGCGGAACCACTGAGTGTTGCTTCGGACGGCGATAATTGATGCAGCGGTGTAGATTGAGTACATGAATAAGAACATATAGTGTGTTGGTACACGAACGTATACATATATGTATAAACTAATAGGCTGCGCTTCTTGTGCAGACCAGATACTGGTAAGGATGTCGGGTGGAATATCGTACATGAGCAGACATGAGCCTGGTCTTGGCCTCAAAGTGTAGTAAGTCAGAGAAATGGTGCTCACGTGATGCTATGAAATTCTGGTGGCACGCGTTCACAAACGCGTCAGATCTGCACTAGTACTAGTGTTGCACCTTCAGCTCGTCTCACTGGTAGATGCCACCATTCCCTCCGAACTGCAATATCATTTCACTCTCAGATCAACCATGAGCGTGCCACCTTCAAGCGCTCCTCCTATTCCTCCCACAACCTTTCAAACACCAAATGGAGCGAATAGTGCATCACCCAAAGATCTTCGGGACTTTCTCAAATCTTTAAATGACGACAATCCGCCGTTAGTGTTGGATAAACCACTCTGGCTGCGCCTGCTTGCCAGTCTACTGGAGCAAGTCTTTGGTTGCTTTCCTTATTTCAAGCCAACAATGTTAGGCACCACCAACGAACGCATCGAGCTTACAGACGTCACGCTAGATGTCTTTTCACGTGTCGGAAAAAGGGCTGATTCACTTGACTGGCTTTATGCTGATGAGGAGCAGTTATCTAAAAAAGTATTTGTACACCTTTTGGGCCTCTGTACTTCGACAGAATCATGGTTAGAAGTTGCCGACGAGGGCGATTCAAGCGGTGCATCTAACACGCTATATTCCAAAGCTTGCGGAACTCTCGTCGAATTCTTACAACTTTTGTCATTTTCAAGTATTCCAGGAGGAGATTCAAGTGATCTGCAAAGGGGAGTCCTGCAGGACATTTTGTACGAAGCGACAAACTTATGTACTAGTGAGTCTAGTTAACCTCGTGAAATTTCTACATAGTTACTGATAGTTTGTAGCAATAATCTCTGCTCGACACGAATCGTGTCCTCTTGACATTCACTGGTTCTCTACCCCACCGTGTTTAAAGACCACAACTGAGGACTGTTCCATTCCGGTATTGTTATTACTTGTCAGATGATTTTCATGCTTAGATATCTTTAGTGTCCCATAGACACCATAAACGTGATCAGGCTGCCATCCCCTTCTCACTTTTCCGTCTTGACCAGCATCATCGTCGAATTATTTGGCAACCTGTTTTCAACTGCGAGGCTCTCTTATTTCATCACGGCTGCTATGCTCCGTCACGTCTCTGAACTGACTCGTCGTGTATACGATTTTTGCTCTGAATGTCCTACCTCTCCTGCAACAAGATCCCGATGCCTGCTTCGAGTAGCAGCTGCTGCTCACACCCTTATGTCTAGTGACCCATCTCTTATTGGAGGACTCTCAGGACTACCTTGTCGTCTTTTAATTCAACGACTCCAGTGTGGTCCAAATCCTGCGCAACGATCAGTCGACCGCAAGTTACATGAAATTTTTACTTCCAACACAAATCTATCAGTCGATTATGTGAATGATACTCTGGAACTTTTGCGCTCTGAAACATGGGAGTCACCTGGGAGTGAGCTTCGGGTGAGTCTCTGTAATTTTTTAAACACTTCGCAAGCTGAAACGGTGTAGGCTCTTGCAATCGTGTACATACGCGGTTGTGAGAGTCGTTTAGATGCAGCAAGTTTGAAGGCAGTGCAATCATTCCTTCAAAGAAATCCCTCCTACCCCGATTTAGAACCGCTGGTTATCACTGCCGGTAATCGCGTTCATAGTCCAATGAGCCAGACTGCAGACACCATAGACTCTTCGCATTGGCGCACAGAATTGCAGAGGCTCGTTAGTGCGCTCATTGTGCCTGATGAACTGCAGTGGAAGAGTATTGGGCGCAAAGATACAACATCCTACATGCCACGAATATTAGATAAGATCAAGTCCAGGTGGGCTCGGTGAGTCTACATTACTCGTCGATGATAAGTTTTCTCTGAGCGCTACCGTAGGGGACTGCATCATTCTTCGTCTTCTGTGCGTGCAACACTGGTCGAGAATGTTACATCCCTTGCCTCTCACCTCAAGCCATTCTCTCAGCAACAGTCATCTCAGTTCCGCGTTGCCGCCGCTCTTCTGTTACCTCTGAACAGAATCATCGAAGGCCCGTCAACTGAAGTCGACGTTAATGTACGGCGACAGGCGTTCAATGCTTTCCGAACCGTCATCAGAGAACATTCAGCAGATATTCAGTCTGATGAACCGCCACCTGTATTTGATTTCTTGCAACGCGGGTTCAATGACAAGGACCGTTCTGTCAGAGTCGATGCTGGGTACGAAACCCTTTACCTGGGGGTCAAATTACTCTCATTTGCATCATGTATAGTCGCGCACTTTCGGATTTGGTCCACCTCCACGCCCGTGCAACTGACAGGGGATGCAAATTTAACGAACCAATTTTCATGAAGATAAACAGCTTACTTGAATCAGGTGTGAAGGATGCAGTAAAGGAAACGCTGCTGGTTAGTATCGGTTCTATTGGGCGGTAAGCTTGTCCATACGTCCCTGAAGTCGTCAACCAATGCATCCTTTCCCTGCGCCAGCGATGCTCAGTTTGAGCTTCTTGGATTAGTTGTCCACTGTTTGATATCCCAACTGGGCCAAGATAATCATGTATTGAAAGGCTTAGCGTACACACAGGTATGTCAATTTATGAAACACGTATCAGACTCAGACCCACTCCCAACAGCTTTTGGAGATAGCGAAAGCACAAATGAAATCCCCTTACATTCTTGTCTCACCATACCTCTCTCAGGTCGCAACATTCGTCGTCTCCCGGAAATGTACGAACCCAATGCTCATATTCGAGACGTGTCGATTTCTATCTGTGCATCCAACCGATTTTATCAGTGTCACGCTACCCAAAACTCTTCCGTATCTCTTTGCTAACTCCGAAGCGAAGATCATAGAGGAGATTTCGGAGGATCTCAGGCAAACTATTTTGTCACTGTTCATGGACCATTCTCACCAGATCCTTGCTTATGTGTATCAACAACATGGGCCAGCACAAACGACTGGGTCTTTGACGTTCATTAGGAACATAATTTTTAGGGGTGCCGAGTCCAAGTCTGCTGATCTCACCGTCAGAGGCATGGTCCAGAGCTGTGTGGTGGCATTGCTTGCAGAACTAGTTGTGGTCCTAGGACATGAACATGAAGAACGGGCTGCCTTGGTCTGCTTTATTTATTGTTCGGTCGTTCATGATACCTGAACATGTTATCAGGCAGTGGATGCTTTGCGAAAAGTCCAGCGGTCAATAACGGACGATACCGAACTCGAAATGTCTCTGTTCCTCAAGACGTACATGCTTGGGATTGTATCCAACTTGAATGAGATGCTACAAGATGTTCACGGCAAGAAATCATTTCCAGCAAAGAAGCAGATTCTACGCGGTCTAGAAGCACTGATCGTCCAAATCGGACCTCTTGTAAACGAGGTTTCCCCTCAGGCACGTCCTTTCATAATGCTTTCGCGACGATATATAACTTTCCCAGATTATGGCTACCCTGCAAACTATGTTTCTGGTCCCCGAACTTGCTGAAGTCACCTTGTCTACGTGGTACACATTTCTATCCACGTTGAATGTCGAGGACGTTATTCCGCATATTGGCACTACTAGCGCAGCCATTGTTTCTGCCTGGTCTGCTTTATCTCCCTCTGTACGGGAATCCGCCAAGAAGTGTTTGCATCATATCGTCTTTGATGTTGGAAGCACCGTCAGAAATGACGCAAAGGCACATCTAAACGAGGTCGTGGACCTCGGTCATATCCCAGAACTTTCTGAAATACACATTCAACTTCAAAGTGTTCGCATCTGGGATCTGCATGCGCAACTCCAGAAGATTTTAGATCGGTGCTCCAGTAACAACATTACAGTAGCTCAGGTGGCTCTCGCTGAACTCCAAAACTTCATGAAGAACAATCAAGCCTCGCTTATACAGAACCTTGCAGCGGGCGACGCATTTGATCCCTTAATTGGAAGTATACAATTGACCTTGTTTCAGGTTGTCACTCGTGATGGAGAGGGCTCTGACACTCTGCGACGATTGGCGTTTGAATGCATGGGAATTTTGGGGGCGGTTGATCCAGATCGTTGCGACCTTAATTCGACAGACACAAAAATGATCGTGCGGAATAACTTTGAAGATGACGCAGAAGCAAAATTGTTTGCTCTGCACGTCATCCAGGACGTTCTCCTGGATGCCTTCCGGTCCACTAGCGACATAAAGTATCAAGGACACCTCGCCTACACGATACAAGAACTCTTGTTCTTATGCGAGTTCACGCCTGCCCTGGTGTCATCAGAAAGCACGACATCCGTTCCGGCGCAGGGTCCGTAACAGGTGGAACGGGCTCCCAAAGCATGTGCTTGAAACGGTTTCTCCACTCTTGGCGGGCAAATTCAAAGCTTCGCATAAGGAATTGCCTGATCTCCCTTCGCCCATTTACCCTCATCAGAAGACTTATCGAGAGTGGGTACAGCTATGGACAGCTCATCTAATAACCAAAGCATCCAATGATATGGCGCAGAAGATTTTCGGGGTCTTTCGCTCAGCAGTGCGTAACAAGGATGTTGGCGTCGCTCACCACATACTGCCTCACCTCGTATTGAACATCCTTGCCTCTGAGAACGAAGAAGATACCGGCTGCATTATCGAGGAATTAACAGCTGTTTTGAAAGATCAAGTGGCTTCTGATAGTTCGTCAACTCCGGACAAGAAGTTCCTCAGTGCACAGGTATCTTCAAATCCGATCATTTTCGTTATCATAACTGAACATCCACCCCAGGCTGTTTTCACGTTGTTAGACCACCTCAGCGCATATGTGCGAGTCCAGCGACAGGATCTACCGAAAAAAGTCGAGGGCAGAAGATCACGAGGAAATTCTGAATTTGCGATACGTCAGCAGCAGCTTATCCGGGTCGATTCAGTACTCTCTAGCATCGACCATGAACTCATGGCTAAAGCGGCGCTGCAGTGTCGAGCTCACGCTCGCTCACTTATGAACTTTGAGAAGCAGATAGTCTCAATGAGAGAGCGACAACCTCCTCCTCCTGCAACGGATTTCACACCCTATTATGAACGCCTTCACGAGATTTACGCACAGCTTGACCAACCAGATGGAATGGAGGGCATATCGACGTTGATCTTGTCCCCTTCATTGGAACATCAAATCCGTCAACACGAAAGTACTGGACGCTGGACTGCTGCTCAGAGTTGTTGGGAAGTCCGCCTCCAGCAGCAGCCTGACAATTTAGACTTCCATCTTGGACTCCTTCGATGTTTGCGCAACCTTGGACATTATGGTAATGTTTTTCTTGGGTTTTTGGCCGCAGGGCTAAGTATTATTAGATACGCTCCGCACGCATGTCCAGGGTGTTCTCGTTAGAAACCCAGGGTGGCAGTCGGTTTTAGCAGATTTCCAGGTCGAAAGCGCGTGGATGATAGGAGCATGGGATGACGTTCATAACATCACAGCGAATATAGAACACGAAGGCCCTTCCGTAGTTAAAGCTCGAGTTCTTCTTGCTATGCGGTCTGGTGAACCTTTACAGGTCGAAGAAAGTCTTAGGAAAGCACGCCTTGTCCTTGGTGCTCCAATTGCTGCTTCTGGGCCAAGTGGGCATCGTCGTGCTTATGACGCTCTGGTTGATCTCCACATGATTCACGAACTCGAATTGATTCACGAGACTGTGTCCAAATTGCCGCCAAGTTCACAAGGCCGTAAATCTGCCATTGTGACTCTAAGCCAAATTCTCAGTGCACGTTTGGACCGTACATTACCTACCTTCCGCGTGCACGAATCCCTGCTTAGCATGCGGCGAACAGCATTTTCACTCAGGTAAATCACTTCGCCCTACTGGACTTAACATTCTTCTTACGCCGCCCATGTTTAGTACAGTCTCTCGACCATCAATCACAAGTCAAATTGGTCAATCGTGGTTAGCGAGTGCCAAAATTGCTCGAAAAGCCGGACAGTGGCAGACCGCATACAGTGCAATGCTACAAGCGCAATACACCAACGCTCGATTTAGTTTCATGGAAAGTGGGAAGCTGGTCAGAGCACGGGGAGAGCCGTTACGCGCGCTACAAGAACTCGAAAACTCCATGCGTCTCTTAGGTTTCGTAGACAACAATACTGTGGACTTGACAAGAGAAGATGAACAGTCCAAACGGATGAAGGCAAAGGTACGAACACAATTATCGGATGAATGTAGCTCACAATATCGCAATCAGGCGCAAATTCTCCTTGCACGTTGGATGAACGAGTCTGATCGATACGAGGCTTCCTACGTGCTCAAGCAGTTTCAGAGCGCCGCTGACTCAGCTCCAGGATGGGAGAGTGCATTTTACCACCTTGGCCACTTCCAGGATCAGTGTTATAGGAATCTATCAGTAGACGACAAGTCAAACCGGTGAGTCTCTAGGGTTATTCGCGGGTGCCTCGATATCTCGCTGATAGATCGTTACAGCGGAATTAAAATGAACTTTCAAACCATCAAATGTTTCACAGAAGCTGCTGCTTATGGAAACAAATTTGTATACCAGACTGTTCCTCGCTTGCTCACCTTATGGCTAGACATGGGCGAGCGCAAGGTGACAGCGGAAAATCCGTTATTTGATAAGATCAACAACGTCGTTGCCAACTCCATCGATAGCATCCCAGTATACAAGGTGTGAAGTTTCCACGACCCAACGAAACGCTTTGCTGATTCCTGCGTTCAGTGGTTCACTGCATTCCCTCAAATCGTGTCTCGAATCGGGCATCCCAATCGCATTGTATACTTAGTCTTATCCAAACTTATTTCATCGGTCATCCGAGAATACCCCCGTCAAGCGCTTTGGTTCTTCGCGTCAGTCGTTAACTCGACGAAACCCACTCGCCAGCAACGCGGAAGAACAATATTGGATCAGCTGAAAGTAAGCCATATATATTTACCGCTATTGAAGTATTTGACCCAAGACGATGCCACAGAACAGCCCAGCAAATACTGACTCTAACTTCCCAAACCTTATCACAAGTCTTCACGCCATGATTGACGAGCTTCTTCGACTTTGTGATTACTCCATCGGCGACCGCAAGACGCTCAGCATGCGCCGAGATTTTCCCAAGCTACTTGGAATGAAAGAGAGCAATATCCTCATTCCTTTGCAATCATCATTGACAGTCAACCTCCCGCCTGTCTCGTCTATGAATCACCGTGACAAACGACATAATCTTTTTGACCCTTTGTCGCCCACATTTACTGGTAAATTATACCTACAACTGAAAGCGGCGACCTTGACTAACTCCATGCAGTCTTCTACGACGAAATTGAAATCATGCACTCGTTGGCCAAGCCACGAAAACTCACCGTTAACGGTTCCGATGGTATCAAATATATGTTCCTTGCCAAACCGAAGGACGATCTGCGGAAGGATGCGCGCCTTATGGATTTCAATGGGATCATCAATAAACTCCTCAAGACTAACTCTGAATCTCGGAGAAGGCAACTTCGTACGTTTCAACGAACTAAAAATGACATTAGGCTCACTTCTTTTCTAAGATATTCGGACGTATGGCGTAGTGGCGCTGAATGAGGAATGTGGTGTTATTCAATGGGTACCGAACACTATACCTGTGCGACCCGTACTGTTGAAATACTATGAGACGAGGAATGTTCCAGCTTGGGTACGTTTTTCCAGTTTTCCAAGAACACGCATATTGACAGAAGCAGTCTAAGGAGCTGAATGATGTCACAAGGCACATCAAAGACGGTACCGATAAAGAAGCAGCTGAACTTTTTGTGACCAAAATTCTTCCTGAGTAAGTGGTTGTTGTATATAAGTTGCTTTGCGATTTATGTAAGTGATGCAGATTTCCTCCGATCTTTCACGAGTGGTTCGTGGAAACATTCCCTGAGCCGTCGGTATGGCTAGCTAGTCGCCTGAATTATGGGCGTACCATGGCAGTGATGTCAATGGTCGGATTCATCTTAGGGTGAGCTGATGGCTACCTTAAGGGTAGTCAACACCTAATCGATTTTTGGAAGGTTGGGAGATAGGCACTGCGAAAATATCCTTCTGGACACCAACAACGGAGACGTCGTTCATGTTGATTTTAACTGTCTCTTCGAGAAGGTACTCCAAACCTCCTCTTATTATCATTATTTCACTCACGTGCGCTTAGGGCAAAACGCTCGAGACACCCGAACGGGTTCCTTTCAGACTTACTCAAAATCTTGTTGACGGTCTTGGAGTAACTGGCATAGAAGGAGTCTTCCGTATCGCCTGCGAAATTACAATGCAACTCCTCCGCGATAACAAGGACCCCCTCATGAATGTTCTCGATGCATTTATACATGATCCGCTGGTCGAATGGGAGGATGAGACGAGAAAGAGAGTATGTCAACGTCTTCCACGTATTTTTTGCTGACGACTCAAACTTTTATGTTTCAAAGCAGCGCCGCAATGCCAAGGACAAGGATAAAGACAAAATGAATTCTGCCACCGTCAAGCCTGCCGATTTGAGATCATGGGCCAAGACCGCGCTGCGGCCGATAGAACGGAAATTGAAAGGATTATATTCCCCAACAAATGTGAAGGAGCGGACCTATGGAGGAATCACAAGAGGAGGAGAAGACGAACGGGAAATCTCAACAAGCAATCTCGTCCAGATGCTCATACAAGAGGCAATCGACCCCGCGAACCTAGTGAGACCGCTGCCGTACTTTGTCAACTTATGGAATACTGACTTGTTTTTAGGGCAAGATGTATCCTGGATGGGCTGCATGGCACTAGGAATTCACCCTTGGCAAGGAGCCCATACCGTATTGTTGCGTGATACGCCCTGTTTATTATCTCAGTGTAGCACGACTCTTCACACCGACTCAGGTATTGCGACGACAATGGCGATACTCCATGCAGGGTAGATACTTATTTGGCAAATCTAAGTAATAAGCATGTTGTGTCCGCGAGATTACTGCCTGACAGGCTTGCCCTGGGAACAGTGTCAATCACAGTAACTGCTAATAACAGCTCAACTCTTACCATGGTAAGCTGGTACATACCATACACAGTTCCAACCATACCCACACCAAAGATAGTGAAGTAGGCACCTAGACGGTACCCCGGATGAATGACATGCACACCAAACTACACTGCCATGTCACCTACCAAGATACAGTCTTGAACGAGGTGGGCGATAGTAAACGGGCGAGTGTGAAGCCTGAAAATGATGGTCAATCACATGTACAATGCCGGGTAGTTGGCTGTTACCTGGTAGGCCCTCTGCCTCTCAGGAACGTGGTTTGGGCCTAGAAATTTCGGACAAGAATGAGAAAGGGAATAGAGAATAGATTACCGATGCACTCACGGTGAACTACAGCGTCAATCATGGCAGTTATTTGGAGGATTGTATTTTGTCACTGCAGTTGTTCGACGGGAGAGGAAATGTGGCGGAGTCCGAACGGTATTTGCCGAGCTCTCCCGTACCCCTCCTCAATCATGGCTGATCGCGTCCGCGTCCGAGTATGTTTGCCATGCTTTCGTTTCATAGATGTCTGCCTGCTCACTGTTCTGTGCGATGTCTAGGGTGTCACAATACACAGACCGATAATATATGGAAACATTGCGACAGTCCTTACTCCTGCTGAGAGGGAGACATCTCACTATCCAGACCACACTCATCGTTGGACAGTCGCAGTTCGTAGCGCCCCGAGTGTCCCAGACTCTGATATTGTCGGTGGTGCAGATGACTTGGGGTACTTCATAAAACGAGTCACGTTCAAATTGCACGATACATATCCGAATCCGACCAGAAGTGAAGTCTCGTCTTGATGTCCTCTGCAGTGTCTGAACGCATCCATAGATATCGATAAACCTCCATTTGAGGTGTCAGAAACTGGGTACGTATTGTTCGAGCGCGTCAGACACCAAGGTTGACAATTTTTTTCCAGTTGGGGGGAGTTTGAGATTCAAATCCGCATCACATATGTAGCAGAGTCTGGCGAGAAAGCCACCACGCTATACCACCATCTGAAGTTACATCCTTGGTCGATTACCTTCCCTATGCCAAATGCATCTGCAGTTCCCGTAGAGCCTGAAATTCCGTCTCCCGAGAACGCTGCAAAACTCGGGCCTGTGCATAGTTGGCAATACGACGAGATTGTCTTTACAGACCCATTCCAAAATTTCCTCAATCTTCTAACTGCACATCCACCAACGCCGCTGCCGAAAACGAGTGTAAACAAGAAGCCCGTTCCTTTTCACTCGTCTAACCCCGCGTCATTGGAGGCGAGTTTAAAGGGTGGTGTGCCGGAGTTCACCAGTGCCATGGAGAAAGAGGAGGCAGATAGAATGGAAGAAGCGAAGGGCAAGATTATCAAAGAGCAGGAGAAATGGCGAGTCATCTTGATAGAAAAAGAAAAGGAGCTCGAAAGGCTTCAGAAGTTACTTACATCAAAGGAGTGATTTTTCCAGACGTTGGGTGAGCATCAGCAACTACCCTATCCTCATCTGTGAATTCTCGCACCCTAATTTGTGACTTTAGTCTCTCTAGGATATCTACAAGCATGCGAAAAGCAACGGACATCAGAACAAGCGTGCTCAAGCGTCCCTTTGAGACTACAGCAATATCCTCGATCGGAGATTGAGTCCATGACATACCAGAGCTACGACCCTCTCATGGAGATTAGCCGAAGGCAACCTGAGGTCGTACCACAGCAGCTGACTTGCGATGCGATCTCTAGATGCCGCTCCTTCTGTACAGTACCACATGCTATTGCCTTCGCCAACGCTGAGGACATGGCATGTACTAGCTAGCTGAATGCCGCTAACCAAGATTGTACTATTCGTGTGTGATTGAAATATGGCTATCCGATGGTTTGGCTGCCACGGTAGAAGTTGAATAGAACCCAACAAAAGAATCCTTTGACGAAGTAGGCCATTAGATGAAGCGGTGGAGTTGTGAATCAGTGAACATTCATCTGGGAACCTAATGAATGTCTTTCGCTGTACTCGATTCAAATGTCGATAAAAACGTGATAAAGGTGCTCAGCATAGCGGTATCTAGAATAAGTACAATTGTGTTATCGTTTCCGCCCCTTTCCTGCGTTTCGCCCACCACTCCTTGATTCATCCGTTTGTTCTAAGAAGCCGCCAAGCTCTAGTGCGTTGCGTGCAGCATGATTGATATGTTTGAAACGATCAGGACCTAGATGTATTCCACCAAACCACCGGGTCACAACAACGAGGACGTTATTGATTTCCTGTATCATAAATTAGGAGTTATGACCTCGGATTTGACATAGCGTACGCACCAATATGGAAAGCAAGTGGGCCAATCGGCTACCTGCTGCAGTTTCCCCATCGTCATCGTTATCTGAAGAGTGTCAATCTCACATCGTTGAAACAAGAATTTGTACTACATACCCTGGTGAAGCACACCACCCACCTGGCAACGCCAGGCATTAATGATTGGGTGAGCAGCGCGGGAAACATGGCGTTCCGACATGAGATTATTCAAAATAAGCGGTACCTTGCGCAAAAGTCGGTCAGTAAAACATCTGTCTGCCTCCAATTGTATACACTACCTGCGAGGGATCAGATATTCGACATGCACGGCCAATAAAAACACTTTTTCTGTCCACAATAGGTTCCGCTTCGACGATTTTGATACCTTCCGGTAAAGCAGTGTCTACTCGATCCTTTTCGTCAGCAGTTGATGACGCAAAAGGTTCGTCGGCCTCGATCGAGACATGGTTGTGGGTATGTGCATCCTCTCTGAGTAATTCTCCAGCTGTCTCCCTGTTTAGTTTATCTTCATACCATGCCTCGCACCGCTCCAGCACATTTTGTAGTCCGTCAAAAACACAGACACTTTCCGGCGTCCATTCCACTCCTGAGACAGATATGAACGTGCGCAGTATAGATCCAAAAAGCGAGGAGTCGACACCAAAAGCGCCAATATAACGGGAGAGGAGCTGGAGTTGAGGCGGGTTTGAGGCGGGGTATGTTGGGGGAATTGAGACCAGTATACGTATGGAAATATCTTCGTGGGATGGTAGACTTCCAGAGCAGGCGTCGGAACGAAATTTGAGCAGTGCGATGATACACTCACTTGAGCGAAATTTCGTAACGGATGGCGCCTAAAGCACTGCTAGACGAGTGATTGGGAACGCCACTTCTAGGGCTTCCGGGCGATGAACGGTATAGGTGAATAGCATGGTCTCCGTATATGGACTGAAGAACTGTAATGATCAGGATCCGTTTTATCTTTGAATGATCAGATCCTACCGTCGATCTCAGAAGCAACGGATTCGAGGTCGGAACTTTGCATCAGCTTTGCAATGAAGTCTCTGAGCTCCATCGCAGTGTCCGAATCAGTTGACTGAGTGGAGACATTTGTGTCCATAGCGGTAGCTACTAGTTTCAAGGTTCTGAGATAACTTGCACGCGATTCGAGAAGTCTTGTGATTCAAGTTCCAAAGGAGATGTCCTAGTGAAGGTGGAAGAAGTTAGAACTACGGAGGCCAGGTCGGGAATTCGAAGCCCGCGGCATATGCCATTTGGTTTCCATTGACGGCGGCCTCTTCGAAAAGTACTTTTAGCTCATGGAAACACTACTTCATCGTAGATTCGTCACATGTGCATATTAGAGTTTCTAATACATCATCATGATTGAGTCCTACGCTGTCAAATACCATCTTCGACTCAATAGGTTCGAAAGTTCAACTGACAGATTCCCACCATCAACCTGTGCTCTTGTGCTGTGTTCGTGGGGAGACAAGGAATCATGCGACAGCGGAGCTAGTGGAGGTACGACGCGTGTACATCCCTGTGAAAAATGAGGATGTGATATGGGGAAAAGAGGGTAAGGGTCTTTGGGTGGGTAGGTGGATAAAGCGTACGTTCTAATGATGGATAACAAGGTAGGCTGACGTGGGCTGAAACGTATGTCCGCTAGGTCTCGGTGTGTTGAGGTAAATTGATATGAGGACTTGGGAACTTGAAAACATATTCAGCTGGTGCACGCCCAAAGTTCGAATTCGTGATTGACCCGGAATGGTTGGTTCATAGTCGGTACGCCTCAGAGCCATAATGCAGATGACTGAGTCATGGCTACAAATAATCGTGTTCCCTAGACTAGGGACGCTAGTTCAGGTTGACCTAAAGTCGGAAAAAAGCGACAAAGGAAGTTGACTCTGTGTACCGCGTAGACGTTGTACATAGTGTGGGGCAGATCATGATACGATGACGCCGACCGCATAGTAGATGTGAGAAGGCAGTACCTTGTCATTGTGCTGAACTGTAATTATGAATCACTCGGGCCCTTGCTTGGGTCATCCAATTGGGAGTTGACTGCAAAATTTATGAGTTGCTGGTCAGCTACTATAATCTGCAAAACACTAGTGGCATGCGCTTGCCTCATAAACAAGCCGTGCGAGGTCGACGATGATTACGCCGTGCATAAAGGACTCTGGAGTCGCTTGACTCGAAGGCTGTCTTGCAAGATAGCCAAGTTGGTAAGTTGAAAGGATGAGCCAAACCTGTCCATTAAAGATCGGAAATTATTGCAAGAAGATGAAGCTATGATTACCGGTACCACTCCGAGAATCCATGTGAATCCTCGAGTGTCGATATCCACGAGGGACGCGGAGATACCTGGCCGCTTCTCATAGGTAAAAATATTCGTCTTCATGACTCGTCGTCTTCATCATAACAATGGGCGGCTATGGACATGTGATTTAATAGAACTCGAAAGATGCTCACCTGTTGAGTCAAAGAAAGCGCCTCAAGGGCTGCTCTGAAGGATCTGATGGAGCATACGATCAGAATGATTTAGTATACTGGGTCACCAACAGCCTTGCCATAGTACGTAGCCTACCAAGACAGCGCTTAATGCTTCCGGCATGCCAAGCGGCTTGAGCCGTGCCGCTGCAAGTCAGCGACAATGACACAACACGCACACGCTGCATCATACGAAACACATAAACTTGCCTTAATCCTTCATCAGTGCTACCAGGTGCACCGACCTGCGATCACCTGCTAACAAAACTCACGCTATAAATCTGCTCGTAAAAATGTCTGCTTCTGATCCAGGAGAGCCGACGGCAGTTTCTGCAGGTAGCAAAAGGGCTCACAGTCCAAGGACAGCGCCCGCAAAACGCGCCAAGGCAGTCCAGGCTTGTTTATCATGCAGGAAACACAAAACACGTTGCGAAATGCTTGATGGAGACAACTCCGGCGCCCAATGCCACCGCTGTAAAGTCCTCTCCCTCCCTTGCTCATTCGAAGAAAATGGCGCTCCGTCGAATGATCGTGCTGGACCCTCCCGCCCTGTGCACACACCAGACATCCGTTCCATGCGAGAACGTGAGGACCGTCGTCCTTCCCTTGCTCTTTCCCAAAAATCCCATGATATACCAATGGACGACTCTCGCGCTCACGCAGGTCCCAGTTATTCAAGGAATTGGGATTCTAGTTCAAACACCCTGCCACCGTTTTCTAGATCTCAGCCGCAGGAGGAAGAGGTCGACCTTCTAGATCCTCAACGGTTACTACCTGAGCGTCACAAACCGTGGGGATTTTTAAAGCTCCCTGGAGGGTTTGACGGCACTATGGTGCCTATGTTGGCTATGCAGGCGCTTACCCGTGCAGGTTCGGTTGATGACTCCTCGCGGAATAAGGTGGATCAGTCATTGCTCCATATTCTTGGGAGGGAGCAGATAGAATATCTGACTGACATGTGAGCCTGGACATTCTATTCCCTGCGAGACTCTCATCTTGGCATAGTTTCGAGGAACGTTACGCTCCCTGGCTTAATTTGCAGCCTTCTCAGCAACCAGAAGGACCACTTCTAAAACTGGCACAGTGTTGCGTTGCATCACGACATCTCGGCTCATCAACACGCTCGGTAGTTTCTCCTCAGCTATACCGCCTGGCGGATGAATCTATCTTCAAACAGGCCTATCACCCTTTGCCATCTACAGATGCAATACATGCAATGCTCGTGCTTTCACTATGGGAACCCATAGGGGATCCAACGACAAAAGAGTCGCGCGATGGTCGGCTAATTGCTTCGACTGCCGTCAGCATGGCTATGAACCTTCGCCTAAGCGAGGCCATGATATATTCTAAAACTCTCCGGAGGCAGAAAAAACCCAACGACCTTCCTAGTGCGGAGCTAATGGAAGCTATTGACAAAGCACGCCTCGTACGTCTTTAACCGGCTCTCAAATAATTAACCTGAATGTGTGGCTGTAGTGGTTCGCATTGAATAATGTTGAGTCAATGTCTGTACAGCAGTGTGATCCACTCGGTGCCTCCGGCTGATAAATTCTATCGCAGGCTTTGTGTGGGTACCGGGCGCAGCCCAATATCGGACTGCGCTAGTCTTATACATGACGCCATCGATACAACGTCGATGGCAACGATTGGGGCTGGTCGTGACATGCGACTCACTTTAATCTCCCAGATGTTCGCCGCCACGCAATACGGGCTCTCTATACACCTCCGTTCCGCGGAGGAAATTGGGGTCTTCTACAAAGAAGTGCTCGACTTCCTGATGCGCATGGATGTGATCGAACGTCTCATTTATCCCCTTCCAGGTATGCAGCCCCCATCATTCACTTTTGAGAGCTTAACTCTGAACCCTGACACCAGTCCTAGCAGAGCACGAGGTCTTCTTCTTCACGATGTTGCAGGTCTATTATCAGTCCTGCAGGCTGTTGGTCCTGGTACATGCCCTGATGGAAACGAAGACTGTGATTTCCAAGTGCGACCAGCAAAACCCGTGGTTCCTCGTTGCAGAACATAACGGAATCAATCTCGGACGAAGTTGGGGCCACCAAGCGCTTGTGCTGTCTGAAGGCATCCTCATCACTGCACTATCACGACCTGAGCTCGTGCTTCTCAGCGCTGCGCCTGATAATTTCTTCGCAATGCTCACCCTCGCGACATTCTTTGTCATCCTCAGCAAATGGTCCGTGATGGAAAACGCCGGCGAGCAACTGCCAGGGTCAAGTGACAGCATTCTTGCGCGGACGATCGATCGCATGCAACAGGTGAGCGCAGCTCCGGATCATGTTCCCGCGAAATGCGCTCGAGTTATCGAAGCTGGCGTGCTGAGTTTCCGGAGGCGCTCGTCGGAGAAGTCGGAGGTAGATCCCCGGGAGTTCAGCCAGCCGTTACTTGAGCACTTCGATACGGCTGCGCGCAACTTCCGAGAGCGCGTATCAGCACCTGCTGAGCACTCTGTGTACTCCACAGAGCAGCAGTCGTTCCCGTCGTTCCCAATCAACGACCCAAATTACTTCATGAATTCGGACATTATCCTTGATAATGATTTCTGGTCGTCGTTTATGTCCAACTTGAGCGATGGGAAGGGTAGATAGATTCCAGGGACGGTATATTTACTTTAGTGTCATGGTTTGTGTTACTATTTTTACTACGTTACGACGCAGGTACTTTTTACATATATACCAGGTAGCATGTAGCATGTCAGCTCTTCTACATCGTCATATATTGGCTTACTATACCTTCCTCCTGAATTGAATGTATTACCGCAGCTCTTCTCGATCTTCTTATCATTGATATATTTTTATAAGGTATCTGACGAAGCTTTCATTTGAGTTCCCGACATGGAAGATAAACTATGTAGATAGGCTTGTCGAAGGCCTTCATGAGTCGCCAAAGTCGGATTCGTGGATCGTTGATGCGAATAGAGCCGGATTGAAAGTGATTATCGCGGTGTCTGGCCGGCAGAAGGTGGATCGGGAAGCATGCCAATATCAAACTGTGCGGTACGCCGAGGCAGGGGCTTGAGTGGGCGGGAAGAGATAGCTTTTATGCCAATCGATGAAGAGTCTGAGTCTGAACTGCTGTCTGAGTGTGACCCATCTGATTCTGATTCTGATTCTGATTCTGAGGAGGACGAGTCTGATGAAGGGGAAGACGACGATGACAATGAATCTTCGCTCTCGGAATCCTCATCATCTAAATGAGAGTCTGAATCTCTGAGCCGAGTCTCCAACACGCCCAGTCCGAGGTTCTATGAAATTATCATGAGTTTTTTGTGTTTTGGAATGGTTGGGATTGGGACTTGCCATTTCGATATACTGCTCTGTGTCCTCTTCGATATTTTCGATATCCACGCTCGATGGGTTGTCCCGGATCCGTTGGGAAAGCGAGTCGTTCTCTTCCTTGAGGCGGGGAAGGAAGTCTTGTATCCGTGCGAGCACTGCCATCGAAGTCACACCCATGGGATATGAGAAAGATAGTAAAGAAAAGACGACGCACGTTCGCTGGGTGGGTCTACTGCGTAGGTTTTTCTCTCACCAAAGTCAAAGGTTGGTGGTGCAGCATTGGATGTATTCTTGGATGGTGAGCTTGAAGAGCTGTTCAATTGCTCAAGGAGGCTATCTAGACATAACTGAGCCAGCGGCCGTGTGTCAGACAAAGTTGCTCACATATCCTCTGTTGCCTGTTCTCCTCGTCCTCGATTTCGAGTTTGGATCCATAATGCGACATTTTATGAAAATAGATAAGAATTTGATGCTGTGCTTTGGTGTGAATGAAAGGAGATGCACCGAATTTGGTAACCAACGGTCGCTTCGTCGCGTCCATCAGCGAGCGCGTATAAGAGGGCAGCGTTCTCAGCGACAGTCTCCTATCTGTAGGACTATTCAATTAATATCTTCATAGCTACGCTATGCCCCAGCAGCCACGTATTCGTGTCGTTGTGCAGCTCCCCTACAACCGTCCTGACCACCCACTTCCCGATCCTCCCCATGTGCGTACTGGCAATTGTAGTTCCCTAGGCTCTTGGCTGAATGAGCTTGGTCCGTACAGATTGAATGGAACGCGGAGAAAGCTAACGTTCTATGGGAGGTTATCGCACTCTCTCGGACGAGCGATAATGGTGGCACGGATTGTGAGTGGTCTACTAGTTGATATAGACGACAGCTTATACCGAAGCACCAACAGGGAAAGGCCTAGCAGCACACCTGGAAGTGCCACTTCCGTATCTACTTTATCGTGCCCAGGCCCGATATGAAGATGACCTACGGGGATTGCAAGGCTTCCACGCTGGCAATCAACAGAACCAGCCTGCTCCCAAGTCCACAGAAGTGACACCTGTCCTTCCAGACCGTCCCCCCTCCATTCAGATTCCTGCTGCACGAATCAACTCCCTGAATAGCGCCTGTAGACTATCCTCTTCCAAGCTAGCAACGCCTCTTGGTGTCCGTGCGCGGCTCAACTCCCTCACCCAACACAACTCTGTCCAATCACCTGCAAAGTGCAAGAAAGCATCGTCCTCATCAACGTCTACTCTTCAGGGAACTCAGATAAAGAGACCCCTACGCCTGCCCTCTCCGTTCTCATCTGACGAGAGCGATTCCGAGGATGAGCAGGCTGCCAAAGAAGAAGAAGCGGACCGTGCGGCAGAAGAAGCGGAAACCTTGTCACGCAAACTTGAAAGCCTGCAGCGCATGATGACGAGCGAGGCCCTCGGCCTTGTAAGTTCCCCACTATCCAACGAGAAAGGCAAAGCACGAGACGTGATCCGTGGGCGTGCGCCGGTGCCTATCTTCCGCCCTGGACGCGAGGGTGAGGATATCGCAAGCTTCAAACGTGAAGAACGGAACCGCGATCACAGCGCGTCTGTATCGAGTGCATCTTCTCCGCAGAATTCAATCCCTTCGATCCCGTCCCCCTCGCCAGAATCTCAATCTCCGATGACCCGGCATATCACCACGAATAAGTCGAGCAGCCCGCCAACAGTGTCGGTGCGGAACGCACGGGGACAGTCGCACATGCGTTATGGGACACTTGCGGGGCTTAGCGAGCAGGAGAGCAGTCATGGAAGCTCTGCCTCGAGCTTTAGTGACATAAGTGGTACGTGATTATGTTTATCTTCGGTGTCACCCACGTCAATGTTGTTGTAGAAGCAAGCTTTTCGGCGTCAGCGTTAGAGAGCGCGTTGATGTCAAATGTCCCTGCAGGAGCGGGGTCTCGTTTGTAAGTGTTCTGGAAATCAGTGATTGCTGTAAAGCACTCACCATGAATTGTCTCCCACAGGTCTGCTATTGCAAGAAGTAGGTTTGTACGTGGTGTGCGGTTGTAGCACACCCTCATCTGACTGATTTATTATTGTTTTCTATTGATGAGCTCTGTTCAAAGGAATCTGTACCACTACCATTCTTATCATAAGCTTCCGTGTATCTGTTCCTAATCTTATCGACCTAGGTTTGATAGACACGTCAGAGCCTAGACTGATGCGTCCCGTGCCCTTACTTCGCTTCTACATGATTCGAGCGTGTTCCCGTCCACGATGATCATTCTACTTACTAAATGCATTGTGCCGATCAGCACAGGATTGTCAGAATACAAAGGCGCTTGAGAGCTGATATAAAGCGCCTTGAAAAATCACGTTCACTTTCTCTCTCGATCATATCTGCATTCTTCTCAGTTAGTACAACACCCACAATCCAAACTTGTCCCGTTTCCTCGAGGCTCTACCTTCCGCTTACCGTTTCGAACTAAAACAATACTGGCAGACAGCGAACGCGGCAACGATGCAGCTGACGTTCGTGACGGATCTAGGCCAGACGTATGCTGTTGATATCGACCCTGACATGGAGCTTGAGAACGTGATGGCTTTGCTAGAAGCAGAGGTGAGTCGCTTGTTATCTACCCCACTTTTATTCAGCTCTAACCAAGTGGCATGTCAATTCTGTTCTTGTCTTTGCTTTCTCCTCGTTCCCCCGCTCATACGATGACTTGCATGGTACAATCCACGACTTTGGATCATGCAGTCGAGTATACCCCCCGGCGAACAAAGCATCTCGCATAACGGGCGCGAACTTACAGATCCAAAAGCTACCATCCGGGCGCTTGGTGTGGGCGAGCATGCTATGCTCCTCTTACGCAGGCGTGTCAACGTGCCCGGGCCCGAAGGCAGGTGAGCATCTAATCCTGTTCTCGGCCTTCATTGTACGCACCCATTGATGATCCTTTACAGACCCATAGAACAAGATGCAGAGATGATGAGACTGCAAATCCTTGGAGATCCGCAACTTATGAGACAATTACAAGATGTGTGTGATTATTCTTGCTTTCTTTAGTTTCTCACTGAGAGTTTCTTGCTCAGACACTACCGGAAATAGCTGCTGCTGCCCAATCTAACCCCACACGGTTCGCAGAGCTCCTAAGCCAGCAACGTGACCGCGCACAGCAAGCTGAACTTGGTCGGCAGCGCGAGATTGCAGCCCTCAATGCTGACCCCTTCGATGTGGAGGCGCAGCGTCGTATCGAAGAAGCTATCCGTAATCAGGCAGTCATGGAAAACATGGAACATGCACTTGAATATTCCCCGGAGGCATTTGGACGGGTGACGATGCTTTAGTGAGCACTTGTCCGACTTCGGAGTGTAAATGTACTGATGGACGGTAGCGTGCCGGTGGAGGTGAACTCGCATCCTGTAAAGGCGTTTGTGGATAGTGGAGCGCAGCAGACGATCAGTACATCTTGTCCCACCCTTGTCGTGTCTGTCTGACTTGACTTGTACAGTGAGCCCCGAGTGCGCAGAAGCATGCGGGTGCGCAATTTTCCTCTGAATTAGACGAAACTGACGTATCACAGAATAATGCGTCTCATTGATGGACGATTTGCGGGCATCGCACGTGGAGTGGGGACTGCAAAGATTCTGGGACGTGTGCATAGTGCACAGATGCGACTTGCGGACTTGCATCTTCCATGTTCGTTCACGATAATGGAGGTCGGTCTTCCTTCTTTTCTGATATATTTCCCCCAATTATGAAGCTCATACAAACTTGAGGGCCGCGATGTAGATCTTCTCCTTGGGCTCGACATGCTGAAGGCACACCAGGCATGCATTGACCTCGAAAAATCCGTACTGCGTATCCAAGGGCGTGAAGTACGATTCCTCTCTGAACACGAACTCCCAGAGAAAGCACGGTTGATCGACTCAGGAGCGGACGATCCCATCGCGTCTACCCCGGGCCCTTCCAGCAGCGCTCCACAACCTGCACAGATGAGTGGTGGTAGAAGCGCTGGTGCCAGCGGCTCGTCGTTCCCAGGTGGAGGAAATACGCTGGGTTCTGCGCCTACACCACGTGCATCGACACGTCCCGCCGCTGCCCAAGTCACGACACCCAGATTCTGCTATCGAGTTGATCATGGGACTTGGCGTATCGCGGGAGGTAGCAATCAGCATGTTGGATGCCGCAGGTGGGAATGTGGATGCTGCTGCAAGTTTGTTGTTCTGAGTCCTAGGGTGGACGGGGATAACTGAGAAGACATCAATATTCTTGGATCTTGTATCTTTGATTGCAAAATGTACGATGTGATGAATGATAAATGAAGTAAATTGGCATGCCCAGCTCGTCGCAAGAACATCAACTTCTTCACTTTTGCCTCGAAAGATGATACTGGGATGCGGACATGCTAAGCGGGCATTCAGTCTTTCACACAAAGTAACTAGCCCTGATGCTGACATCCTCGTCCTCGTATCGACTGTCCCTTTTCACTCCAGATACACCCACCAGAACATACATGGATAGTCGTGTCGAAGGTCATACTAGTACAATTCACACTTACATTTTGGTAATTATACAAAAGTATTAGTAGTCTGCAGAGATACAAATATAAAGGATGCCCAATCATCCTCTCAAACCAAATAACATAAACCGCACGAGCAAGTCTAGATAAGACTGACTCTCGTGCGCACAAGCCCACCACGCCAATTCCACATCCCCGCACTGCGGTGGTGCGACCAGTCCCCCTGCATCCGCGCAAATGCGTCCTGAATGTGCTCAGGCCGCAGAGCCGTCCTTGCTTCTGGTGGGGGTAAAAACAGTGAACTCGTAGGCAGTGGTGCTTCTGCCTCCTCCTCCTCTTCCTCCTCTCTCCTCGCGCGTTTCTCCCGTTGTTCCCCTCGCCTGTGTAAGTGGTGCGACTTGCGCTTACCAAGGATGGGCGAGGTACCAAGGTAGTCGTCTCGTAGATATGATTCCTCGAGGGACTTTTTGACCTCGAGGCCTGCGAGCGTAAGGGAGCGCACCATCTCAAATGCGAGAAAGCCAACGATGTCGACGGTATCGTCATTAGCTTTGAGGTCCAGGTGTGGAGGAAGGTTAAGGAAGTCGCGGAAGCGCTTGGCTAATTGTTCATCGTGTCAGTAAGATTCTGTCTAGCTCATGAAACGACTTCACCTTTTCGATACGTAAATGACGCTTGTCTACAATCTGAATAATGTTGGTACTCTTCCCTCGTCATTTGTCTTGTGGCATCGTCGGCTTCTTTGAGGCGCTGTATACTTGCTTCATGGGCTTCAATATCGTCCTCGTCCTCTTCGTCATCAGATTGGTGTCCAGACTGACGAAGCACCTCGCTGTAGATTGTCGAAATCTCCCAAGGAAGCTTAATAGTAATCTTTTGCGCCTTGGTCGTTAGTTTCTCTATGCGGACGTCAGTAGACCAGTTGGAAAATGTTGGAGAAATACAGACCATCAGCGCCATCCTCAAGATTCTCGACTTCGACACCACCACCTCCATCACCACCCGAATCTTTGGCATGCTTCCGAACGTCCTTCCACGAGAGATATGTCCGGAGACGGTTAACCTTACCGCGGTCGTGGCGAATGAGGAAGATGAGGTCCTCCGCGGTAATGTAACGCACACCACGCCGATTCGCGTGAAGACGGGCTTGCAGGATCTAGAGTAGCATAAGACATCACAGCAGAATCTCATAGTTGAAGTCACTCACGAGTTCGATGAGCTGACTGCGCACGATATCCTCGACGAGGTTGACAGTCTCTGGATTTGGGTCTTGAATTTCACCAAAGACGAACATCTGCAAGCATTCCGTCGTTCATGCCGAGTGTGGCATGTAAATAGCAATGACGTACCATCTGGGATATCTCCTGCATGTACTTGTAGTCGCGACTGGTGCCATCTGAGGGTTTCTTCTGGACCGCTACTGGTGCTGGAGCAGGCGCTGCAGCTGGGGCTGCAGTTTGTGTTGGCGCCATAGTGAGCCGCGAGCAGTTGGATGAAGTAACCAATGATCAGATTCCTAATGGTTGATAAGCCTTTTCCGTGGTAAAGAAACGTAGTCCCGTGGTTTCTGTGTTGCAATCACTACGCCATCATGTGGACCATCTCAAATAACATATATACTCTTGGTCTATCCACAATTTCCTGGTTTCTTCTCTGTTCTACACGATTTAACATCTAAGCTTTTTGTTATCGCAAACGCAATGGCCGACCAATTCAGCACTCCACTTGAGTTGCCACTCAGCGAAGAAAGTCTCGCGGCTATCAACGCCCACCTCTCCCAGCTTTCTCCACAAACATCCTCAAATGGGCACTCACGCACCTCCCTGCCCTATACCAGACCACAGCTTTTGGTCTCACTGGGCTCGTTGCCCTCGATATGCTTTCCAAGTCTGGCCACCCAATCCCGAAGCTTATTTTTCTGGACACGCTGTATCACTTTGCGGAAACATATGAGCTCGTGCAGGAGGTGCGGGAACGTTATGCTGTCGACATAAAGGTGTACAAACCCGAGGGATGCAAGACCATTGGAGATTTTGAAAAGAAACACGGCGAAGAATTGTGGCAGAAAGACGAAGACATATACGATTTTGCGGTCAAGGTGTGTTGTTCATCCCGACATTTCAATAGATAGCTGAGCTGGATTGCACATGCAGGTTGAACCCGCCCAGCGCGCGTACCAGGAGCTTGGCGTGCAAAGCGTTATCACGGGCCGGCGGAGATCTCAGGGCGGCGATCGTGCCTCCCTCCAGCCGCTTGAGGTCGATGAAACAGGGCTCCTCAAGCTAAACCCACTTTTTGCGTGGTCTTTCGCGCGGGTCGATGCATACATTCGCGAGAACAATGTTCCAAGGAATAAACTGCTCGATCAGGGATATCGCAGTGTCGGTGACTGGCATAGCACGCAGCCCAGTCGTGAGGGCGATACTGGCGAGCGTGCTGGGAGATGGGCTGACAAGGAGGGGAAGACTGAATGTGGTCTCCATAAGAACTTTTCTGAGATGAAGTTGAGGGCAAAGGTTCGTTGATCTGCAGGTGATATGGATGTTTTAATGATATAATAATATTAGCTCGAGGAGCAACGCATACCAGCCGCAGAAGTAACAACTGCTTCAGAGGTAGCCACTCCTCCTGCGTAATTAATTCAATGGTGTAACGATGCTGAGGAGTCTTGAATATGTATCGCTGTCTAAGTGCTGGTCTAAGGGCCTGAGAATTTCTCTTGGCTGTGCAAACGTTCGTTATCTGATGATCAGAGCGGTGTGTAGATCTATTTCTCGTTGACGCTCGGGGTGTTTGACGAATCCGGCTTCGATAGTCTTGGAATTACAGTACACTGGCTTCTATCTCTCAGCTATAATTTTAGATGCGCCTGATATCCTTCAAGGTTGAAGGGGAATTCCACAAATGTCGAATCCTGATCTTCGCTGTCATAAATCTCATGTCAGTACCCTATGCTTTACGCCATGGTGAAGGCGCCTACTAATAATAATAAGTGACGGTTTACTAGAAGCATTTAGTAGTATGCCTAAAGCTATCATATGATGCCAGTGACCAGCCAATTCATATCCATAGTACTGGTTCCGGCCACGTACCAGTGATAGATTCCGCTGATAAACGCCGCGATTTACTAGTCAGGGTATAATTATCAACCTCATATAGACGGAAGGCACTGACCGGGTCGAAGGTAGGCCGAGTCACTCTTTTCTCTTCCAAATTCTTCCTCCCAGGCCAGCAACGATGTCTATCAAGTATGTGGGTTCCAGCAGCTACTGGCTGAACATGCTCTCTCGCGTTCCTAACAACATTCGTATGTTACTATCTGACAGTCCACCATCTATACTCCATCCAGTGTTCAATGCCGCTCAGCCGTTTCCCCCACTTCCTGATATCAACAAGGACAGCATTCGGACGCAGGTGTTTACACATCGCTCATATTACGGACGCCCGAATCATGTATTCGAGGATCAACCACAGGACCCGAGTCCAGACAATGAAAAGTAAGCAAAGTGTCTCTTCTCCTTAGGCCGTCAGGCTGTGTTGTTGTCCAAAACACCACACCCAACCGATCGAGCTTCCATCAAGGCGCTCGTGTCTGAAGCTGATAAGCTGATGCATTCTGCAGATATGAGCATCTAGGGGACACCGTGTTAGGGTCTGGTCGTGACCGAGCTTCTCCTGGATATGTACCCCAACTTGCGCGTTGGGCCATCTACGGTATGCCTCGTTTCTGAATGGGCACTAGACATGTTTGCCCACTACATCCTCTTCAGAAAATCCGAGCCCTGGTCGTAGGCAACTCCACCCTTGCCGACATCTCGCGCATGTACGACCTACCAAGAAGATTGCGTCTGCATCCTGCGCAGGCAATTACCTTGCGCGCTTCCGTCAACATTCAAGGTACGTTCCCGTTGTCCTTCATAAGTCGGTTTATCGAAAGAAGTGTTCCCAGCCGACGTCTTCGAAGTACGTTATCCTTGATATCCGAACAAATGGATGCTGACACAATGCCACCGATAAGTCCTACGTGGGCGGGCTCTATCTCGAGCAGGATCTGCTGGGAGTCGAGCCCTGGTTGAAAGCCCTGTTTACGCCTTACGCGACTGAGGCTTACAAACGTGTACGGGAGCAACATCGTCTCCCGCCCATTCCGACGACTGCTCTTGTCGCGCCTGATTCAGTTCTGTCCTCACCCCCACCTTCGCCCCCTCACCCCCGCCCCTGCACTACCTCCACGACCATAGGCCATCTCGCGCTGTTCAATCAGCAGCTCCAGAAGGCCAACAGGATAGTCGAGTGGATCTACGCAGACGGGACTGGTGAAGGCACGAAGACGACTCCAATTTGGCTCGTCAGGTGCGAAGTAGATGGAGAAATTTACGGTTGCGGACAAGGTGGGACCAAGAAAGCCGCCCGAAACGAAGCTGCCAAAGAGGGTCTGAAGAAGATGGGCATCGAAGTCTGACAATGGCTGAGGCGGGTGAGTGATGGGTTGTTTGCTAAAGGGCTCAATTTGATCGGTCTTTGCAACAGGCTTTCAGCACTGTCTCTCCAGACTCGCGCTGGCTGGAGATCTATTCTTCTATTGGTGGCATCGTCGGCCTGCGCCAGTGTGTAGAGGTTGTGTATGAGACGTTGCGTCAATGCGTCAACATGAATGTGAATTGCTTCTCAATCGTCTCGATTTCTTGATTCTTGATTTTGGCTTTTCGCACTATCCAGTTTTATGAAAGGGGCTGGATCGAACGAGAGTGTCCATACATATATATGCGAAATGGTCTACTATTAGTTTATCGTCTTGTACTTTGCTGTAGAAGTTTTTCATCAATGTTATTGTGCTTTCGACTTTTGATAACTTATGACTTACCTGATACATTATCTGTAGAGGAAATATATATCCAAGGGCCTGAAAAACCTCTATACCGAATCGCGGAGCCTCCCGATATTGTCCACCGAAGGCGCACCCCAAATGAGCGTCTTCCGTGATGGGTCCAACAATCGGGGGAAATGCCTCTCAAGAACGGGCACAAGCAAACCTCGGTGTATTGATGGCACGGTAGCTCCCTTGACCTTCACAGGTACGCTGCTCGGAGTCTGTGTCGCCACGACTTTTGCCTCGTTCATCACGGAAACTTTGACCTCCTCCACGATTGGCCCAGCACGCATCAGCGCCCGCGCCTCCTCATCAACGTCGGAGAAGTCATCTTGTTTCACCGCGCTGATAGAGTATGCCCAAACGCCGACGCCAAAGCCTGCGAGTACGAAGCCGGTGATAGCGTTTCGGAGGCGAAAAGGTGCCCGTGCGCGCTGGAGGCCGGGAGACATAAGCTATGGATGTTATGTGTCAAAGGTGCTCTTGTTTTCGGGAGTACTTGGTTATGCAGATGCGACGTACAGAACTGCGTGGTCGATAGGATGCAGCAACGGTCTTTTTGGATACGTATTGCTCGTTCGCCATGCTCGTGATCTGTCGGGTGGCGTTTCTAGCTTAGTTCTAACTATTGCAAGTTAGCATAAAATCAGACGCTCGACTCCAATATTGCACAGACCAATTATTTCACTGCTTTGAAACTTCAAGCTTCAAGTTCTGGAGTCCGTGCTTCCGTGCTATACTCAGCTCACTAGCGTACCACGCCACACCAAGTCGTTGTCCGAGAAATTCTCACAGCTTGCGGAATTCATATATGAGGTCACTCGATCACCTGACCTCAACTTCGACGCGGACGGCTTTCCTGCATCCGCCAGTTCCACAAGGAGCATGTTTCCGCAGCCCTTGCCATTTTCTCATGCACTAAGAGTGCTAGTGAAAGCTCCGATTGCAATCAGACAGTCCAATCGATCGAGTCTCAGCTTGTGGTACAGAATGGCCAGCACGAACGCCAATATCGTAAGTAGGCATCAGGTCCACTGCTTGGAGTAAGTCACTGAGCCTCTTTTAGTGGGGTCTGCAGGACCCATCGTTGATAAAGTATCAATCGTTTATCGATGGGAAGTGGGTGAGCGCAAAGGACGGTGGAAGTATCCTTGTTACCAGTATGCTATCCTCTTACAAGTGGGATACGATCAATCAACTCAGAAACCTATTACAGACCCTGCGACAGGTGAAGAACTTGGCACTGTTCCAGAGATGGGCCTTGAGGAGACCAAGTCTGCTGTTGCAGCTGCCGGCAATGCCTTTGCATCATGGGGCAAAACTACTGCCAGGGTTGGTATCTTACATTTCCTGTCGGCTTATACTAATGAACACTCTGCATGATAGCACCGTCATGACATCTTGATGAATTTCTATAATCTAATGCGAGAACACAATGATGACTTGGCCAGGATCATCGTGCGTGTATTACTTGAACAAGTTGTTGTTTTCCTCACTCTTTGACAGACGTTAGAGAATGGCAAGACGTTGACGGAGGCAAAGGTATCATCACTAGATATCTCCCCAGTATCAAGCTAATTCCTTGAAAACAAGGGCGAGAATGCTTATAGTGCATCTTTCATGGAGGTAAGTAAATTCGGTCCAATTGAGTCATGTAACTACATGTTATTCGCAGTGGTATGGTAGGTTATCCCGCAAGATGGCTTGAACCTCTATTCATTTTTTCTATCTTAGCTGAGGAAGCTGTCCGAATCTATGGAGGTTTGTCTTTTCCGTTTCAAAGAGTTCATACATTGATTGTTTTTACCAGAACACATACCTTCACCGTTCACCAACCTTCGGAACGTTGTGATTAAACAGCCTGTCGGTGTCGTGTGAGACCTTTCATGCGATCCTTTAATGCTTTATCTAAGAAAGCGCATCAGCTCTATTCTCACCCCGTGGAACTTTCCGTCTGCTATGATCACGCGAAAATTGGGTGCCGCACTCGCAGCAGGTTGCACAGCAGTTATAAAACCTCCACCTGAAACACCGTTTTCAGCTCTTGCACTAGCTGAGGTAAGACCTTTCTTATATTTCTTGCAGCTTTGGATCTCACCGTCGTTGCTATTCGAAAGCTTTCTCGTCGCGCAGGTGTCCCAGATGGCGTTATCAACATTGTTACAACCCAAAAGAACGTCATTGAGGTCGGCCGTGAGATGTGCGAAAACAAAATAGTCAGGAAGATATCATTCACCGGATCAACACCCGTCGCTAAGAGCTTGTATGGCATGGCTGCCTCCACACTCAAGAAGTGAGCACCACCAAAACACCCTTCCGTGCTTATAAATATTCTCTTTAGAGTCTCCATCGAAGCTGGCGGGAACGCACCCTTCATTGTCTTTGATGACGCTGATATCGACCAGGCTGTTGAAGGTCAGCGTAGAAAGATTTTCTGAACCCTCTCCAGGCTGATCTATCTCTTCAAGGGGCAATCTCATGTAAATTCCGTGGTTCAGGGCAAACCTGCGTCTGCGCAAACCGTATCTACGTTCAGTCTTCAGTCTACGCTGATTTTGCTTCTAAACTCGCTGAGAAAGTCACTGCGTTTAAAGTTGGAAATGGCCTGGATGAAACAACGTTGGTGAAATGCGCCAGATAATCTCTGCCATTTACTCACTCATTTCCAGGACGCATGGCCCTCTCATTCATGAGAGAGCAATCTCGAAGGTTGCGCGACATGTAGAAGATGCTGTTGCTCGTGGTGCCCAAGTATTGGTTGGTGGTAAACGTGTCGATGGGGCCGGAACTTTCTTTGCGCCTACTGTCCTTTCTGAGGTTCCCGCTGGAGCACTTTCCAATTTTGAAGAAACTTTTGGGCCTGTTGCAGCTCTGACGAAGTTCGAGACAGAAGAGGAGGTGATCGCCCTAGCAAACAACGCAGATGTGGGCCTCGCTGGATATTTCTTCAGTCGAGATATTGGGCGTGTATGGAGAGTTGCAGAGGCGCTAGAGGTTGGTATGGTTGGCACCAACACCGGGCTGATCAGCCATGCTACTATTCCTTTCGGTGGCGTCAAAGAGAGTGGTCTTGGTGAGGTTTCTTTATAGTTCTCACGTTTGGCTAATACTGAACCCGTTTGATATTAGGTCGGGAGGGAGGCCACGGTATCACGGAGTACTTGAATCAGAAGCTCATCACTTTTGGCGGGCTCTGAAATAACACACTTTTGTACACAACAAACCTATGTATCATATCTGTTACCTGATGTCGTCAATTCACAAGAATAAAGCATGCATATAAACAAGACTGTATACATGTGACTACAAATTCACAACTTCGCCTGATGATGGCCCTCCTCAATGACAGGGTTGATGAGTGTGCCAATGCCGTGACCCAACCATACCCTGCAGTCATCGCCGTTCTTGAGTACAATGGCGGGCTTCCTCGCGAAACCAACACCCTTGGGTGTTCCAGTCAAGATAACCGACCCAGGCTCGAGGGTGGTTCCCTGCGAGAGGAAAGAGACCGTTTGACGAACATTGAAGATTTGGTCGCTAATAAACAATCATCACTTCAGTGTGTGCTCTCTCGAGGGTATGAATAAGTATTACTTGGTGTTACCGTCCTGGAGGACTTGGCCGTTAAGCGTGCAAGTTAGCGGGATTTCCTGGGGGTTGGGAATGGCGTTGTGCGACACAAGAACAGGACCGAGGGGAGTTGTGTTATCTGTTCAAGTTCATCGTATTAAGTCATATCTCATCTTGTCCAAGAAAAATTACTTACCGAACCCTTTGGAGAATCCCCACTGGGAAGTTGTCAGTTGGTGCTTGCGGAATGACACCTATTGTCGCAGATATGAGATCAGGCGGCCTCAAAACCATAGTGTAAGCTTTACATCATTGGCACCAGTGTACCCGAGGACGTAGTCGAGAGCGTCTGCCTCGGAGACATTCTTGGCCGCCTTTCCGATGACGATGGTAAGTTCTACTTCGTAGTCGGAGAGGTGCTCTTCGACAGGCTGAGCAACCTTGGGAATGAAGATTGGTGCATTGGGACCGATCATCGACGCCAGGGGCTTGTAAAACAAGATGGGGGCGCTGCATATCACAATGTTAAACAGAATCCAGGAAAGATTGGATAGCATCAACTTACGCAGGCTTAGCCATTTTTGTCTCTGCCTGTTTGTGGTGTCAATATTATACACTATCACTCGATTTTGACAAGAACTTACTGCGTGGTCTGAGTAGTTGAGACCCAAGCACCGAACGACCTTCATCTCTTCGCGAGAGAGAGGAGAGAGAAGCTTCTCGACTGTCAAGATAGTGCTGGTAACGTGAGAGGCAGGGTCAAAGGCAGACCCAGAGAGCTCATAAGCTCTGATGGTCTGTTTGTTCCATGCGGCAAGGCCAACTGTATGTCACGAACATAAACGTATAGTCAAGGAAGTACAGAATGAGCCTGTGATTTACCATCAAGTCTGGGGTCAACCGGTTGTCCGATGTGGATTTGTGCGGTCTCTGCAGCGACAAATCGAATGAGCCGCGTCCATTGCTGCAGTCGCGATTCCTCTATGTGAGCATATAGGTCTACTTGGACAGATATATGTTGCACATACTGTTGAAATGGGTGCCATGATAATCAACAACAAAGATTGGGGAAGGTCTGGGAATGCGCACCTAAGCGTAGAACTCGTTATTTACTTAGACCCCACAGTGGGACGCACAGAGCTCAGGCTTCACGCGGTCGTAAACGCTCCTCCGAATTTCCGTGTCACGTTCCAGTCACGTGGCAGCGACGCGTTTAACCCATTCAAAGATGCTCATCACGAGCCTCGAGGCCCAGTAGAAACCCCAATATGATGAGATAAGGCAGATAATGGAAAACACACATTGATCGCATTGCATCGCTCGTAACGTTGCGTTTTGCTTGTTTTTACCTCTCTGTTCACACATCTTAGCCTGATGCTAGAGGAATGGGCTGATGTGAGGATGCTGGGTGCACCGGCGAGTTTCGGGACGATTCTGACAGTGCGGCAGGCGGCGATGATGTCAACAGTAGTTTTTGTTTGTTTTCGCTTATTAGTTTCACATTGTTTGAATAGAATATGGCTGCAGTGCCTTACTAGGCCTGCACACTATGTCCGTCATGTTTTGTCCGTACAGTACTACTGAATTCGATCTAGTGTATGTGTGCTATGTATGTCTAAACTGTATAATATGTCTACTAGTCTCTATAGTAGTATGTCCAACATGTCAAGATTGTGACTATTTGTATAGGCTGCAAAGGCTTTGTGACAAACTTGCAAAGGAGGGACTTGTAGAATTTGTATTGCTTGTACAATTTTGTACAAGGGCTCGGTAGTTTGCTGATGTTCGGTGGCGTGAAAGAGAGTAGCCTTGGTGAGTTTTTTTATGGTTCTCCTGTCTGGCTAATACTGAATCCGTTTGATTTTAGGTCGGCCACGGTATCGAGGAGTACTTGAATCAGGAGCTCATCACTTTTGACGGGCTCTGAAATAATACACTTTTGTGCACAAGACACTATGTATCATATCTGTTACCTAATGTCGTCAATTCACAAGAATAAAGCATGCATATAAACAAAACTGTATACATGTGACTACAAATTCACAACTTCGCCTGGTGATGGCCCTCCTCAATGACAGGGTTGATGAGTGTGCCAATGCCGTGACCCAACCATACCCTGCAGTCATCACCGTTCTTGAGTACAATGGCGGGCTTCCTCACGGAACCACCACCCTTAGGTGTTCCAGTCAGGATAATCGACCCAGGCTCGAGGGTGGTTCCCTGCGAGAGGAAAGAGACCAGTTTGACGAACAGTTGAAGATTTGGTCGCTAATAAACAATATTACTTCAGTGTGTGCTCTCTCGAGGGCATGTATAAGTATTACTTGGTGTTACCGTCCTGGAGGACTTGGCCGTTAAGCGTGCAAGTTAGCGGGATGTCCTGGGGGTTGGAAACTGGCGTTGTGCGACACAAGAACAGGACCGATGGGAGTTGTGTTATCTATTCAAGTTCATGTTAGTCATATTCATCTTGTCCGAGAAAAGTGACTTACCGAACCCCTTGGAGAATCCATACTGGGAAGTTGTTCGTTGGTGCTTGCGGAATGACACCTATTGTCGCAGATATCAGATCAGGCGGCCTCAAAACAATGATGTAAGCTTTACATCATTGGCACCAGTGTACCCGAGGACGTAGTCGAGAGCGTCTGCCTCGGAGACATTCTTGGCCGCCTTTCCGATGACGATGGTGAGTTCTACTTCGTAGTCGGAGAGGTGCTCTTCGACAGGCTGAGCAACCTTGGGAATGAAGATTGGTGCATTGGGACCGATCATCGACGTCGGGGGCTTGTAAAACAATTTGGGGGCGCTGGATATAACAATGTTTGCAATTTTGAATAGAATACAGGAAAAATTGGTAAGCGTCGACTTGCGCAGGCTTAGCCCTTTTTGTCTCTGCCTGTTTGTGGTTTCGTCAATATTATACTATATAGCTCAATTTTGACAGAACTTACTGCGAGGTCCGAGTAGTTGAGCCCCACGCACCGGACGACCTTCATCTCTTCGCGAGAGAGAGGAGAGAGAAGCTTCTCGACCGTTAAGATATTGCTGGTAACGCGAGAGGCAGGGTCAAGGGTAGACCCAGAGATCTCATAAGCTCTGATGGTCTGTTTGTTCCATGCGGCAAGGCCAACTGTACGTCACGAACATAAACGTATAGTCAAGGAAGTACATAATGAGCCTGTGATTTACCATCAAGTCTGGGGTCAACCGGTTGTCCGATATGGATTTGTGCGGTCTCTGCAGCGACAAAGCGAATGAGCCGCGCCCATTGCTGCAGTCGCGATTCCTCTATGTGAGCACATAGATCCACTTGAATAGATATATGTTGCACATACTGTTGAAATAAGTGCCATGATGATCAACAACAAAGATTGTGAAGGTCTGGGAATGCGTACCTAAGCGTTAGTTACTTGGACTCCACACTGCTGGCAGTACTACAGCTTCACGGCGGTTCACGCGGTCGTACTAAGTTGCGCTCCTCCAAATTTCCGCGTCACGTTCCAGTCACGTGGCAGCGACGCGTTTAACCCATTTGAATTTCCAAGATTCAAACAATTCATCAATTGCTCGTCACGAGCCTCGAGGGAAGTCCTGACCAGTGATTTCTGAAACAACGGAATTATCTCTTCACCGATGTCGTCAACAGTGAGCTCGATGAAGACGACGCTGCAGGATGCTTTGGACGATGTGAGTAACAAGGATGATCTTGAGGATGGGTTCGGTTAGTTATGACTTACGGTTTACTCCTACAGTTGACCTCAACACGTTCATCATTTAGAAGAAGAAATAGAGCTCTGGCTGTTCTTGAGCACCAGCTTGCGCTTGTGTGTGTGCAGTCCTCCAATGATGATACATTAGAAACGTATTTGGACCTTCAAGACGCTTTTGAATCCAATGGTGGGGAATAACCACCCAACCTGCTGCGTACCGTCTAATTCGGATATATAGTTCCATCGCGGATCTTGGCTTGGATACAATGTACGACACCTCAGCTAGAACTGTGCGCAAGCAAGAGCTCCACCAGTAAGTACGCAGCCTTTTTCTTGCTCAACATCATGGCTGACTGAATCACAGAAGAGCGCGATACTGAAATGAATACCTCGTGCTCCCAGCTATGTCAAGGCTTGTCAATAATCCAAGGAGTCTCTCTTCACCACAAATCAAGCAAGTCTTTTCTGGGTCGTCGGTTTTCTCTTGAGGTTGGTTGTGTTCAGTGAAGTCCTTGAGATGCCCAAACCTAATCATACATCACAGATTTTGATCGAGTTATTACTTACTTCTCGACACACGCCAACCATTGATGCCTCTTCGAGGGAAAACAATTCCCAAGCACCAGAAAAGCCTGCGCCCTTCATGCATTTGACATCTGCTGTCTTAGATACTTTGTTGTGCATTCTGGTTGATTCTTCTCCAGCGCTTCGCGCTTTTGAGGAAGTGAATGGGGTTCAAGCAGTGGTAAAGATACTCAAACGAGCAGGAACACCACGCGAAGTCAGGTGGGTTACTCGTTCCATTGCTGTGCAATCACTGATGTAGATCCAGAATGAAATGCCTCGAGTTTCTCTACTTCTATCTGATGGATGAGACACCCACCCACATACGGCCTAATGAAGCACATTCACCACCCTCCTCCCCCGTAGCCACCCAACCTAGCACACCTCTTCTACTTCCTGAATCCAAAATATTTGCTCGTCCTGCATCTAGCGCCTCGAACATCTCATTTGCGTGTACCTCTACCAGGTCGTCATCGAATTCATCAACCTCATCTTCTTTCTTCTCCATGTCAACAGGTTCATCGACAACTAGTACGACCACTAGCTTCGAGAGCATCCACACACCTTCGCCTATCAAGAAATCGTACTCCACCTCCACTTTCACTTCATCAGACCCACGCACTCCTCCTAGCTCACCACCTTCGATAACATCCAGCACTAGAAAGATACCGGCTCCACTACAGTCGCGCTCAATGCTCATGCTACGGAAGGAAGTGGACTATGAGCCGCTGAGCCCCAAGAAACCCAGAGGGTTCCGACCAGGTCTTGGAGTCGCTGATGCACCCATCCCTACCACACCTTCGGTATCACGTTTTCGAGAAACGATTAGCAGCAAGACCTTCCTATCAGGCCGTGCTGAGGATGCAGAGGCTCACACAAGCAGGCATGACCGTGTGCGGACCATTGATGAGAAAAGAGAAATACTAGGGAGTATGCTGGGAATGTAGATGCTCTCGTCGATGGTGTGAGGAAAGCAGGCATATGGGGGCTTGGCTAATGCTCTCGATGCTGCTCTCATACCAGCGTTATCTGCCCAAAAATTGCGGGATACATTTGGTGGTGTTACAATATCGACATGGATATACTTCGACTGATACGATCAATAAGGTGCTAACTAAGAGCGGATTTGCGCAAACTCTGTCAAAAATTTCTCTTGCGCACGAATAACGACCTTGACATGGTCGAGGGAAAGCGGTTCATTTCTGTGCATTCTCATGAGTAACAGGGAAGCAAACACGGACAATAATACTTACGCAGAGAGTGCTAACGCCTGGGCGGTCCGGATAAGGTTCTTAATGGTGCGTCCTAGAAACTATATTTAATTCTGATAGGCAGGATGGCAAGGGTATGCTGACCATTAAACGGTTTTTGCGCCAATACCTCCAGATCTGAATGAGAAATATAATAACGTGGCTCTTTGCCATCAATGTTGACGGACTCTTCAGACTCTGAGTCCAAAAATGGCCACCCAGCAAGCTCGATGAACTTTTTCCAGATCGTAAGCCGGGCCAAAGCATCTAACTCGGGATATTTGATCGCTGTTGAGATCAAGTTTATTTCAAACTGATATGATATAAATAGAGGACGAACCAATGGAGAACCTCGAAAGAAAGGCGTCGTCAAACGTTTGAATGCGATTTGTTGTCAAGAAGAGCACACCGCGGTGGTACTCAATAACCTTTAATGCAACGGAAACCAGTGCGTTGCGTGTCAGCTACAATAAAATGAGAAACGTATCGTGAAACTAATGATGGAATGCAAAAACTTACGTCATGGAGACTCCTCTGTTCCAGGAACACGTCAGCTTCGTCAAGAAGAACTACGGCGTCCCATACGGTAGCTAACTAGTAGAGAATTCTTATCAGTTCAGTCGAAATTGTACATCATGGCACGTACCTTCAATATCGCCGAAAGCTTAAATTCTAGGTGTGAAGGCTCTGTCGACAATTCCGCAGAGCTCACGATGTACAAAGGCCTCTTGAGGTGTTCAGCGACAGCTTCAGCTGTAAGCGTCTTTCCGGTTCCAGGAGGCCCATGAAGTACCGCAATCTTACACAGAATAACATGAGGTTGACAGCATTGGGGGTACAGGGAAACCTACCAAACCTCCACCTTTACCTGTGATAACGTCCGACATAAGATGCTGCGACGTGTTGACATTCTTGGTAACATTGACAAGTCCCTTGATCAGGTTCTGCTTGACCATCAACAATAGCCGGACAATGAACAGAGGGCCATTACTTACTTTAACATCATCATCTACAACCAAGTGGTCCCAGGCTTTCTCGTCATACGTGATGTCATCAATATTTTCGACGTGGAATGATTTCCATTGCTGTAGCCCGTCGTGAGTCAGTCGAATGTTAACTTGAAAAGAGTTCAACTTACTTTGCTCTTGAGATCAAAACCATTCACAAAAGCCGGGAGTTGATCGTGTTTCCCCTCTGGAATGTCAGGGATCTTCTCGTCTCTAGGACGATGTTAGTGCATGGATTAAAAGCAAAAGCAATGATATCATACGGGTTACGCGTGTAGCCCTGTTTCTCATTGAATGCACGCTCATCGATAACGATTCGACTCTGGGGTCGAATCAATAAGCTCCTTGCCATTCTAGAAAAGAGAAGGAAGGAAGATTACCCCTTTATCTGAGCACAATTATGAGTCTGATGGCAACGTAGAATGAGTCAGACATACATGACTTGTAATGGAAACCGCCAGAAAACGATCCGTACAAATTCCCTCGGGCTAAAACGATGTTCAGAACTTTTGTACATCTAACAAAGAGCGCGAGGCCTTGTACCTGTTAGCTTGGCGCGTATATCGTCTGTCATGATTTTGTAATCCAGTTGTGACAGTTTCACCGTTCCCTGAACTATCGTAAGCTCTCATGAACTGAAAGCGCAAAAAATACAAACAGCGTATTTTGGAACCAAGAAAATCTTTTTCTCGTCGATGTATTTGTATCCGTCCCATCTTGTTGTCTCGGAATTCAGGCAAAATGATCTGTAGGCGAGTAATGAGAACTCGATTATTCGTATACAATGCGACATACGTTGCATTATAGCTTGCGCTACTGAGCGTAAATCCAGTCTGCAGCAAGATTAAACAGACAGTTACTATCATATAATATTACTCACCAAGTCACCCTTCTGTAGAGTATAGTACTTGATACCCCGCTTGAAGTAGTATCTGAGCAAGTCGAAAGCAACATGTCCGTAAGAGAGTTGAAGCTCGAGTTCTTGAGCTCTGTAACCTCGTATTAACCTAAATGTCAGGACAGTATATAAATGTGCTCACGTTGATTCGAATTCTTTCTCTATCATACCTAATAGGACGCCAAAATGCTCCGACACGTCCTCGAAGTACCGCCGGGCGTCTTCCTCAGTTTTATGCACTGTATTAAGGGATGAGATTGTCAAAGGAGATATCATATTATAATGACCAGACATACGACCCAATGCATCTGTACAACCCATATCATTCGCTTTTTGCTTGAGATCTTCACCAGCCAAATTTGAGGTAAGAACTTCTCGCACGTCCGCAAGATTGGCCCGAAGGTCATCTATTCTCGTGAAGAAATCCAGAAGAGGATAGTTCGGGTTTTTTTTGAAGAAATCACTCCCAATGGTGTAGCTGCCAAGACGACGCTAAGATTGGCCGGGCAAGAGCTTATATCATAATCTTACCGAAGAAAATCAACCAATACACTGCTGAAGTTGCTCACAATCAGTTTAGGGGACGCTAGACGAAGTCGTCAATACAGGCCAACAGGAATTTGATAGTAACAGTCGTGGAAATCATGCGTACATTGCTCATCCTTATATAGGACATCGAGATAGAAATAGTTGTTCAGATCTATGCGCTGAGAGACAGGCTTGATGAATGATGGATCATATGGTCTCCAGATGCATGTAGCACCATCCCTGTGTTTGCATGTAAGCGAACAGTCAGAGCAGCCAAGCAACTCATTACAGACCACATCTGAAAACGTCGCAAGTAACAATCCTGAGTGTTCTACGTCTTACTGACTTTATCTTCTGAAGCCGCCTGATTCGTTCGATTAGCAAAACTTGAAATCAAGATGCGCTCTACGGTGAACATGGTGAACATGCGTTACCGACCTTGGCTCCAGTAGCGTCCTCTGCTACATTCATGCCTTCGGATGTGATGGTGTCCTGCAATGAAACTGTGTTGTCGTCGGGCATGACCTCAGAGTCTGCAAGGTAGGAAGAATGTGAATGAGATGTGGGCTTGTAAGTTTGAGAGATGAAAGAACGATGGAGGATGTTTTAAACCCATCCCAGTAATACCACTCATCGATTTTGGAATTCTACCAGATGCGCACGCGTTATGCACGCTCCGCTTCGAAACTTGATTTCCGCCACTCAAGCCCTAATGGGGGACTCAAGTCAGACAACACTGAGCTTCTGATACACTTGTTCGCTAGAATTGGGGTGGTAGATTAAGATCTCGTGAGTCACATTGGGCACGAGCCTTTCGAATTCGCAAGGCATCGATTACATTCAAATGACTGTGCGAGCGGACTCGAGCCAACAAAGATAGGGGTAGACAGTGGGCAGCTTCTAGAGACGGTGTAAGTCCGCGTTGGAACACGATTATCTCACCTACATAATCCAGATGCGTCAATTTTTATGGCTACACACCAAAGGGAGAAAGGTGATTCGGATGCACAATATGTGTACACAGATAAAGCATGCTTCGCTCGAGTGAAGAAGGTACCACATCGAAAGAACTACTTCCGACACCCAGTAAGGGAAATTACCGATAAACTCATCAGTACTGCAGCGACCAGCATTGCAATTATTGCACCCACCAATATTAATCATCCTAAAGGAAAACGAAGTCGACGGCCTGTGATTGGCAAGCCCGAACGTCACGCGATCCAAAGTTCAGTCACGAGTGAGTGTTCTTGACTTACTCATCGACAACTCGTGGAGGGAATCACGGACCCGGTCGTGTGTCCCTGGTCCCTGATGCTATCAAACAAACCCATCGGGCTTGTTCTTGATGCCGGTCGCTTCCGAGTGAGGGGACGCGCATGCTTGCCGAATGGACTTGTCCGTTCGGGCTAGCTTGGCAGACTGGACGGAAAAACGAATCAGCCCATTGAATGAAACATATTCTGTCAAAAATATATTCAAGTTGACACACTACTGTGCCACTTGATGTAAATCACTTCACTAGCCAGATATTAACAGACAACTTACTGAGCTTGATGACTCCCGCCTTGACTCACGCACACCTACACATCCTCTCGCGGGACGTAGACCGGATAATTCTAAATAAAGTCTAAGGCTAACCTGAAACGCCGATCCTCAATCTGATTACATTGCAAGCTTAGTCATACACCAGCTAACACTCCTTCTCGGACCACAATACTCACCTTTCATTTGAACCACCGGCTCCACCATATTTTCTTCTTGCCTCCAGAGGCCCGACCAGCAAGAATTTTGCACAAATGGCCCGTTTGTTTGTAACAAGGTTTGTCCTGGCATCGCTTGATCTTGCGCAGCCCCTCTCCCCGCCGCCCGCTTACAAAAGTCCGGCTCGGGCATTACATTTATGACTGCACTTTCCTGTCTTTCTTGAGCTTGACCATCGACTGACATGTTCTTCAACTCTCATAGGACTACATCACTAGCCGTTTCGCTCTTTGGCGCACTGTTCAATTTCGCTCTTGCAGTGCGACTACTAGGAGCTTGGCGGTCGTTTAAATGGGAACCAGAAAGCGAATGGGAGAGTTCTGAGTATTCCATCAGTAAAGATGGAGTGCATCTCGTATGGGCGTTATTGTGCGCATATTTTGTTGCGGCATCTGTCATCTGTCTCTTCGGTTTGGCAGGCATTGTCCGAGTACGTCAACTCTTTTTCTTTTTTTTTATTGCCAAAATCTTGAGCCCTCTTCTCTAGGGCAAAGCGTCATTTGTCCGCATCTATCGTGACTACATTGTCGGAGATTTCGTGTTTGGCACGTTGTTTGCAGCCATAGGCTCTTACGCTGCCTTTCGACCATCAGTTCGCTCCAGTATTTGCGAGTTGTTGTCACGCCAGCCAGACACTCTTCGGGACTTTATCGACTTGGGCCTGACTTTGGAGAACTGCGAACCATGGTTTGAGCGGGGAGTATTCGTGTTCATGATTGTTCTGATTGTCATCACCGTCATTCGCGTGAGTAAATTTTGCCTTAATAGTTGATGGCGAGCCGCAAGGCTGACGTTTGTAATTTGATTACGCAGCTTCACTTCGTGTTGGCTCTTTCCAGTTACTATACCATTCTTATCAGTCACCAAGGCTTCCATTTGTCATCCCACACGCCTCACTATGAGCGGATATACATTCTACCAGTCCATTCAATGGCAAACAAAGCGCGCTGCACATCCGACGTCGACCTACAATTTGTAGACGCTCCCGTTTACGCTCCAGTCCCGCTCACGCATGTTTCTTCGCAAGTCGCGGAGGAATTGCTTGCGAATGCGACCGAAGCATGGGTTTCTCGATTACACTCAGCCCAACATGTACGGCCGCCCAGCCTCTCGCTGGCACGCCATCAGTCTGTGGACCTCGGTTCGGGAGCAGGTCAGACCGCTGACTTGATCTCGCTGGAGAACGAAAAGGCATGAGCTCAGGATTGGATGAAAACGATGGTATTAACTTCTGACATGTTGCGGTGGTGTCTCTGCTTCTCTGTGCTCTTGCTTGTATTATTGTGTTGATGAGTTGCTGCTTGCTTGTACATTAGTTATCTCAGTTATTCGGAATCAGAAGGACCAGTGTCGTCCTTTTTGTAATGATGTATAGCATGGAAGCTCTTTGTAGTACTGAACTGAATTCGCAACTCTGACATCAATATATCCTTCTGTTCCGTTCCGGCTCTCTCGTCATGCGGCAGTTCTCCCGAATGTCTTCCTCTTCAGGATCTGATCATTAACGGTGTCTAGCTCTCACAGCTCCCTTCTCTTGCTTGCCTGACTGTCGCTCGGCGTCGATATTGCACTGCGACATGGGTGTCTGTACTCGCGGGCTAACAATTCACCCACAATCACATGAATATGGTGCGTACAAATGTTTACTCTCCGCTCCTGTCGTGCAGTCACATCTGTATGATTCAGACACCCAAGGACATATGCGGATAAAGATGTTGCATCAGCAGAACGCCGTTATACTTCCCGACGCGGCTCCCGCTACTAATCTGCTGTGATAAATCTACGGTGTAGCTGTTTCTCATGACATGACCACAATTCACGCTTCCTTACTACGCTGAACCTAGTAACGTCATATCTTATATGGGGTCAGCCATTTGAAACTAGCTGAACTCCGGGGTTCACAGTCATTAAGGCTTTGTCAGTGACTCAGCGCCCAGCAGTCATCGGCGCGTGCCGCAGTTCCTTGTACGTGTGAGCATATAGGTCATCTTCTGTTCGCGATTTGCTAAACTCGTAAGCCATCGAGGCATGCACAGAATATCTTTACCTAATGTCCGGTAATCTGGATCATTCTATTCTTCCATTGCGCAGTTGGAACAGTTTGACTCTTCCTCCTCCGATCGCTTGCACTGATCATGTGCATGAACAACGGCAGACTAGATAAGAAGATATCATAATATCAGCAAAGGATCTTGGCGCACAACCTAGGCCAGGTTTCGATAGGCCGGTCCGCCTTTTCCGGGCCCCGGCATTCGTTCATCTGGTTCTGGCCCGGGTAGTTCCTGTCGAAGTTCGATGGACACATGCCCGACATGTGTTTCGAGCTACGCCGAGCACTAGATCCCAATTTTGAATTCCAAAATGTGACTCAGAAAATTGGACTTCTTGCCCCCGTGACATGCCTCGACACGCCTGCAATTGCCCGCGATCGGGGGCGAGTAGTAGTGCTTCGGAGAGCATCTTAGTAACGCAGGCAAATCCATTCAAGAATCTCGATGAAGGACTCGAAATCACTGAAATTTACGTTCAATCTTCCCCGTTGCCACACACGATGAGCACGAGTGCGCAGTGCCATCTATGCTCAGGTGCCAACAGCTTTAAACCCCGTAGAACATTGCAGTGGCACGCACAGACTCCGAGTCTGTGCAAACTTGTACCCAGACCGGCCATTTCAGACATATCCTCGCAGCTGTGGTCCTATTACTAGTTGCAGGTATAGTTCAACTCCGACGACGCGCTCTGGATCAACATACATGTACATACGTGACGTTGACTTGATCGGCTATAATGTCTTCGTGCATCTAGATGCACGGTTCGCCGATTCGCCCTCTTAGATTTGCCTCGACACGTTTGCAATTGCCCGCGGTCGGTGTTAGGCGTCTCATTATTTGCTGCATCAGACAAATAATCAACTGCTATATCATACGCGGGTGCAGCAAGCTAAACAATTGGTTATGATTCTCAATTAGCACGACTGGTTTTCACTAACTTGGTACTTACAATAGTTTGCAGCGCACCAATGATGTCTGAGGCACTTGTAAGCTGTTTACATGTTGTTTCCCTACTGTTGGTTGAATGGTTCAAAATCAGACTTGTCATGATATATGGTGATGCCGGCATTTTCTATTGTCAAACTGGTAGAGCTCAAGTCTCGAGGCTCTGGAGTCTGTGTTGTGGATGTCGTGCTTTGGCCGTCACTGTTTCTATCACGGTGAGTGGCATATCTTCAGCTTGTCAAGTCTCTGCTACCTAATACTAACCAACTACTACCAAGTACTAGTATAAGCTTCAGCCGCATCGTGCTGTCACCTATCCGAGTCAGCCTTGAGCAAGCATTGCAGGCTTGTTGAAAATACTGAAAAAATGTAACTAGTAATTTATTCATGACGTCATGACCCGGATGGGGACGTCGTACTAGGTGAGGTAAATGCCCCTTACTATCGCACTACTCATGCACTCCTGCCTCCAGATCTGTGAAGTTCTGCGGAACATCTTTTCGGCCTTAAACAATTATGAAGACATCACACTTGACGTACAGAAACCACCCAGATCCGTTGACGGTGTAGATGTTCGACGCCAGACTCTCGCATGTCTCGCTAGGACTTGTCGCACATTCTCGGAGCTTGCTCTGGACGTGCTCTGGGCTCACATAGATACTCTCAGCCCTGTAGTACAATCTCTCCCCAGGCACGTGTGGTCTCGACATCGTCACAATCGTAGTCTGGTAGGTTTCCGGCGCTCTATGATTACACTCATGTCTCAAATGGCGTGCAGAAGATAGATAGATGCGTTCTGATTGTTCACTGGCGGGGCATCGAAAAGTACCTTCTGAGGGTTCGCGCCCTTGGCAAACTGGGGGGTAGTGCTATGGGTGACATCTCCCAGGAACTTGCACATACCCTCTGCAGTCATCCCTGGCCTTTTTTACTTCCTCGCCTTGAAAAACTGTTCTGGTCGGACAGTAGCCATGAATCTACTCACCTTCTTTCCAACCTTCTCAGCCCTACTCTGACTGAGCTTCATCTACACGCGATGGGTAACCTGTTCATGCTTTCGGTTTTATCAAACCTGGGAGTTACATGTCCCCTCATGAAATCCTTCTCCACCACTGGCACAGATTCAGCTGCATCCATCCCGGTTTCACAAGCTGTTGTATGTGGTTGGCACCATCTCAAGACCCTTAGCACAGAAGCTGTCGATTGGCGTGCCTTATCTCACCTCTCCACTCTTCCATCCCTTACGAACTTGCAACTTTCATTTCTATCACAGAATCGGGTCTCCTCCAAATACAGTCAGACCACATTCTCAAACCCTCTTCGCCATCTCACAATCCGGGCGCAGAGTGCCGAGCTATGCATACCTTTCCTTGAAGCAACGTGGATACCCGCGAGAAGAGTATCCGTCTCTCTCGGAAACGTCCCGCGATCTTCCAGTAACGAAACCTTTCTTTTGCTCCTTGCCTCTCGTGTAACAGCGCAACAAGTGCAAGCTTTCTCACTCGATTTGACTTGTGATTCACTGCTTACAATCAGTGAAATCATGCCACTCTGCTCATTTTGCGCGTTGGAAGAACTAGTACTGCCATCCCATTCTGCCAACCTTACTATAAACGACCAAGACCTCGTTAGAGCCGTGAAATCGTGGCCCAAGCTGAAAAAATTACGCCTGGGTGATGAGGCCATGTGGGTAACACCAGCGCGTCCTCAAATCACCCTGGATGGGTTTGCCAGTCTGCTTTTGCATTGCCCAGACTTGCGAACTCTTGGCATCGGCATGGACGCCACCTCATACAGTGTTGTGACACCCGAGGTTCCAGGGGGTGGGGTAACCAATACCAAGATCACTACACTCTCTGTCGGGGCATCGCTGATCGACAATCCATTGGCTGTCGCCGCCTTCCTTTCCTCCGTTTTACCCAACTTGAAGAACATTCTGTACACTAAATTTGAAGTTGTACCACATCAAACGGAGAGACGACACGAGAAATGGGCGAGAGCTGCAACGTATCTGCGAGATGTGCATATGATCAAGAAGCAAGAGAGGGTTAGATTGGGGCTTCACTAGGTTCATGTAGTCCAGGTTTGTATTCTCAACTTCTCATTCGAAGTCGAGTGATCCCTGACAATTACATTACGTAAATGACATAATGATATTGATAGTTTTAGCACTTATCATCGCTGTATGTATTACTGCTACTAGTAGAGAACCAAAGCGCAACGCCAAATTTACACCAAGGCGCCTCCTCACTACACTTTCAAAAGAAGATAATGGCCCATGTTCGCGAGCGATCTCTTTCACCTGAGCTTTCTTCAGACTCGCTTCTAAAGCGATTAAAAACGACACATTCCCCGTCGACATCGACCGTGGACCATCGGTTGCGCTTCTATCCTGGTCTCTTTGGGCCAGAAAATGTGCAGCAATTGCATCAGGCTTACGCTGGCAGTGAACCGTTCAAATATGCGATTGTCGAAAAGCTTTTCCAGGACGATCTTCTCAAGAATGTGAAGGATGAATGTATGAAGGAGCTGAGCTTCACCGAGAAGGAGACAGACATATACAAGGTAAGTCTCCTCGATCCTAATCGACTATCTGTTGTCCCAGATCTTTTTCCTAGGTAAATCAAACCGGGGACCTTGCATCACTCTCGTACCTCTCTGAGGCTCAACTTGCACTTTTTCCAAACCTCCTCGCTCTCCGCGATGCACTCTATTCTTCAGAGTTTCGCAAGTTCATTCAGGCTGTCACTGGGTGTGGACCACTCTCCGGAACGAAACAGGACATGTCTGTTAACTCGTACACGCAGGGGTGTCACCTGCTCAACCACGACGATGTGATCGGAACCAGGCGCGTATCGTACATCCTCTATATGCCCCTACCATACGGCCAGGACTGGCAAAAAGAATGGGGAGGTGCTTTAGAGTTGTATCCTGTTCAAACCGGCGCCGATGGGATCCCTGAACCCGAGGCTGCACCACGCAAAGCTATCCCTCCAAGCTGGAATCAATTCATTTTCTTCGAAGTGCAACCAGGCAAAAGCTTCCATTCTGTAGAAGAGGTGGTGGTAGGAGGGGATGGCAGGGAAAGACTTAGCATAAGTGGCTGGTTTCATGTAGCACAGGAGGGTGAGGAGGGGTATCAAGCTGATCAGGCAGTTCCTGAGCTCAAAAGCTCACGAGAACAGTTGGTGTGTCTTGGAAGATGTGCTGTCTGTGCATTCGTCTCATCAGGACTACTACAGACATCTAGCTCTACCACCTTTGTTGCATATCCCGACTTGGAGTCACTCTATCCAGATGGACCGCTCCGAAGAGAATATATCTCCTACCTCTCAAAGTTCCTAAACCCAGTTTACCTTCAAACACGCACGATGAAGGCATTGATGGCACGTTTTGTCGTGGAATCGAGTATTGAACTTCACCATTTCCTTTCCGCGTCTCTCGTATCGAAACTTGAACCTGACCTGCGTAGGGCAGACCAAGCTGATGGTCTTGATGGTGAGACTCGCCAGGGGAGGTTACCACCGCACACTGCTGGCGTCTCTGGTGCATGGTCTGCGCGAGGTCCACCACACAAATGGCGTTACTGTACGCTTCAAGAAACAGCGGAGCCGTTACGTGAATCAGACACAATCCTTCGTCAGTTGCAAGACGAAGTTTTCCCAAGTGATGCGTTTCGCGCTTGGTTGAGCATCATGACAAAGTTGGTGCCGCTGAGCTATGCCGTAGAAGCGCGAAGGTTTAGACCAGGCTTGGACTACACTCTTGCAACGAGCGAGGGGAACGAGTCGCGATTGGACGTAGTGTTGGGATTAACGCCACAAGTAGAAGTTGAAGAGAATGAGACGCGATCGAATGGCAAGTCGAAGGCGGATGAAAAAGACGAAGAGGACGAAAAGCCGCATGGTTGGCAGGCTGGGGAGTGGGGAGGATGGGAGGTTAGGCTAAGATCTTTCTCGTTGATATTTACTGATTTATTCGTTGTCCAGTGTTACATGGCGCCCCATGACGAGGATGATGATCCAGCAGTCTATCGTTCTGGATCGAGCAAAAATCACCAAGTCAACGATACTTCTGGCGATGATGACGATGATGACGAGAGCACTTTGCTAACCATTCAGCCTAGCTTTAACAGACTCCTTCTCGTCCTGCGGGACGAGGGCGTTATGCGCTTTGTCAAGTATGTGTCAGCCGCTGCTGCAGGCTCTCGGTGGGATATCTGCGCTGAATTCAACGTGGGGATGGTTCAGGATGACGAGGAAGATTCATGAACTGCATTCGGTATGTCCATGTAGACAACGGAATTTTGTGAAGCTATCTACCGTTAGGGTGTACATGCAGTGTATCTCGCTATCCTTTGCCATCGTGATATCCTAGAAGACAATCTTCTGACCTTGGCTGGGTATGATAGCAGCCGATTCACGTGGCGCTTGTGCCAGTGCGGCACCAGGTTTCGGGCGTCCTCGAACCCTGTCAGCTTTTATATGTCGTGGTCCCTCCTTTTGGTTCCGTCGTGTTGATTCTGCGTCATCTTGTTGTGCGATGTGTTCTTTCTCATTTTCAGCACGTGTTCCCGGGCGTGATTGAGATCGTGGACGCGACTCAGTCGCGTCAGGTTGCCGACCACCATGTCTTTTGGGACCACTTTTGTGTTCGCTTTGTAACCTTGGACCGCCGCCTCGACGGACTGCATCAGCAGAGGCATATTCCACAACTAGATCTCGACCATTGAGACGGTGGTTGCGAGGATTGAGCAGAGCGGCAGTTGCGTGTTCGGTGCTGGTAAAGTCGAGGAAGGCAAATCTGGATACTTCCGTTGGTATTACATGCGCCTTGTACGACAAAGCACTCACCCTTTACATGCACCACTGTCTTCAAAAGTTCCCATGCGGACCTTTCGTAACCAAACATCTTTTGTGACATTGTCATCCTCCCCGGCACTAGCCTCAGCGTCATTCGCTTTGACACCCTTTCCAGGCTTTTGTGGGTGTCTATGAGCCTCGAAGAGTTCACGAATCGAGTCCACCGTAGTATCAAAACCAAGATTTCCAAGGAATAATGTTTGTGCAGGAGGCTGCTTCTGTACACGCAGAATCTTCTGTTGAGTCTTCGTCAAGCCGCTCACTGATTTGCCTGCAGAGGGACCTTTGGCGTCCTCTTGTGTTCCCGCCGGTGGTATAGTTGTGGGACGGCCCACGAAATCATTTCCTACATATACGCGAATGCAAGCTTAAATATCAAGTGCGTAGGGTAAACCGCATGCATACGTACCATCTTTGATCAGCAAATTCCGACCGTGAAGCTCTCGTTCTGACTGGGTTATTGCTATGACCTTGGCATCTGGCGTAGCAAAGTCGACGTAGGCAAAGCTAGCTTATCTTCAGTCGATTACGCGTTTAGCAAGCAAACAATTTAGCTCACCCCATATTCTCTGCTTTTGTTCCTTTTTTGGTGGGCATGTGTATTCGCGTGATCTCCCCAACGCCATCAAAGAAATCTCGCAATGTATCCGGCGTAGTATTGAACCACAGATTGCCCACCCAGACCGAATTCTGACGCTTCGGCTTGCTATTACCAGCAGGCTTCGAGGGCTTCGTGGAGACGCCAGCTTCAGAACCATCTGTCACCTTTCTCTTTTTCGACGGCCGATCTTGTGCCTTCTGCTCTTTTTTCTTCTGTCTGCGTTTTTCGGCGTGAGACAATGCGACAGAGTCATCTGGGACTGGTGCATTATCTGCTGTGTCTGTTTCGTGTGCTACATCATCGCATTCTTCGGTAACTCTCTTTCTCTTGACCTGTGGTGGGCTAGAAGAGTCTGATGAGGACGCCGCAGATGACATTTTGGAAGTAGACTTTTGAAAGGAACTCGTAATGATATCAGTGAATCATGTGACGACACACGTGACAAGAGCTCACGCGATTTCCATGAAGTACTTTGAAGCTTTGTGGTCAATCGCGGTCTACTGATTGGTGACAATTACACTTGCTACATTGTTCATAGTCAAGAAATCCAAAAAAACTGCCCTACGATACGTCTATCGAGAGTCTACATACATTGTCCATCTAAGTATTACATTCTTGCAATTCAATTAAAGGGTAAGTATATTCAATAAACGGCTCTGGACTAGGTCACCAGTAAAGATGATATCCCGCACCTTCAACCTGTCCTTGTATTTTTGCAGCAGTCTTCAAATGGTATAAAGATATAGGTTGTTTACTATGATATTGGATCGATCAGAGATCTCACGGCAAATGAAAATGAAGACAAGTACCGAGAACGCGCTAGTGCTTTGGCTGTAGTATGAATGTTCCTCATCGCCCGACCTGCCAAATATTGAAGCGACCGTCTACAAGAGGGTGGTGGTTTACTTACCGTTGACTGCAACTCTAGACAGCTCCTCGATGTCTCGACGAGATATATTGTCTGCTTCCTCTGTGAGCATACTGGACCACATAGTTTGGCGGGAATCGCCATCTAATTCAGGATATTGGATAGCTGTAAGAGTGAGAGGTGAGCGTGGGACTGATAAGTTAGCAAATAAAACCTGTACTGATAGCAAAATGCGACATGTATGCAGTACATGTAGTTCTCGCAGTAACAAATACAATGCACCGATGCCGCTCAAAGAAGTCGAGTATCATCGAGATGCGAATATGTTCCTCCATCTGATGGCAGGTCAGGGTAGCACAAGACGGAGACACCTAATGCGTACCATTGGCTCGTGCCTCTGAGTCTGCATGAGAATCTGGATGCAAGTCAACTCATGATTGAAGAAACATGTAAAATACCGCACATCCCCAGCTTCAACCAATACTATGGCATTCCATGATCTTGCTACCTGTGAAATGCTGAATTTGCATCAAGGTGGACAACAGCGCACGAACATACATCCAGACGGGATGTCAACGTGTCCACAAGTAAGGTCGTATCCGACGGAAGGGAACATACTGCGAGAGAGTGCAACGGCCGTTTAAAATGTTCCGCTATAGCTTCAACGGTCGCCGTTTTGCCAGTCCCTGATGGTCCATGCAGTAGTATAACCTGTCAGCGAGAGGTGCGCCGTAACATTCGTGCTATTTTGGAACGAACAGGTAACTTGACCTACCAAGCCCGATTGTTCTTCATCTGCCATGGCCTCCTTGCTGAAGTCGAATGCACCCACAACTCCTTCGATGACATCCTGTCGTAATGAGAAGACGAACAAATATCTGAGTTAATTGGCTTTACCTTTGAGTCCTCGTCAAGCACAATGTGCTTCCAGGCATTTTCATTGAACCTTATTGGCTCGATTTCATCAACGTCAAAGAAGCCCCACGACTTGCAGGAAGCCATGCACTATCAGAGGTGCTCGAATGTATGCTTTTATGTGATTACCTTGCGTTCCAGATCAAAACCTGGCATGAATCGCGGGAGAAGAGCGATATCATCTTCGGGCACAGGTGGGATGTTATCGTTGTCTCGGGCCTTGCTTCTGTCTTGAAGAAGGGGGTATGGGAACGGGGTTTCATCTCTAGTCGTCAATGAGATCACACAATGAATGACTGGCAAACAATCCTTACGTGTGGTCGTAGGCGAATGTATTCCAGGCTAAGCGATCAACTATGATCCGTCGCTGTTGGAGACGACAGGTCAGTGAGAAACTATCCACCTATCTCATGATCGGGCGCACTCCTCTATCTAAGAGAGGTAAGGTTGACTTAATAATTCAATAGCAATGAGAAAACGCACGAAGTTTGTAATGGAACCCCGCTAGTGAGGCGTACTTCCTGCCGCGCTCTAGAGCTAGGGTTAACGCGGAACATTTGCGGGACATGTGCTCTTACCTGTAAGTCGTCTACGTATCTCAGGCGTCATCTCGAAGGTTTGAAAATCAGCCAAGATCAACGACCCCTGAATGTCATTAGTACGACGAAAGTAGGATAGTATCGGGAACAGACCTCAGTTAGTTTAACTATCCGACCTCGCTCGACCGTAACCCACTTGGTTCCGTTCCAGAATGTACCCTCGCCGTTGAGGGTGAATGTTCTGCAGAAGAAGATGGGAAAATGACATTCCCACAAGTAACATTTACAACTTACTGGTCAAAGTCATCGTAAAAAGTTGAGATCAAGCGGAATGCATCCTGCATATTTCATCTATCTGAGCGTCTCGCAGAGTATTGTTGGTTCTCTCACAAAATCATCATTATCGTCGAGGTAGTAGTACTGCTGATTCTTCCGGAAGTAGAACTCCAGCAGATCGAGCGGTATGCGACCGTGTACTACTGCATGTTTCAATCGTTCAGCTCTACGGGAAATCAGATACCAAGAGATAAAAACGCAGGGCATGTCGCACATTGACTTGAATTCTTCTTTAAGCAAGAGTAAGAGAATGTCAAGCTGCTGGACTGCGGCCGTAAGGTATGTGCGCACGTCGCCGTCTGCCATCATAAAAGGTATGAAACGAGTTACCATAAAGAGTACGAATTACATACCATGTAGACCCTCATGCGCATGCCCCAGCGCTTTCGCACTTTGTACGATGCCATCCTCTTTGTTATCTTCCAAAGCCTTACGTGCGTCACCGGTGCGACTGTCCAACGAATATAGCTCCAAAAGCAGCTCGTCGATATGAACTTGTGGATATTGGCTCAAGCATTCACCCCCCACAATGGAGCTGCAGAAGATAATGATTCATCATCTGATAAACTGAGTGCTTAAATACACCGTACCGTAAGCAAGCGAGTAAAATGGGACTAAAATCACTGAAAACCAGTTTTGGTTTCTCTACATACTGGTACATCAATTGCAGCTATGTAATGCCTGAGGGCGCACCTTCATCTGTCTTCCGTCGAACGTTCAAGTAGAAATAAGTAGGCTCCTGGGTGGCTACGCGGGGAATCTGTTCGATGTATTCGTAGGGTTTCCAGCAATCATGAAGATAGTTCCTAGAATTAATCAATAAAGATCGCCCGATTACTTTGACTGGAGAGTGTGAACCATTGCTGCCACCTTCGAAGGAAGCCATTCTCTTGTCTCTCGGTTATGCCGGACTTGCATTCTTCGAGCGTCACAGGCCTTGACGTGCTGACTGGAGGCGGTACCTTGATTGCAAGTGAAGGCATGTCCACAGCGGGAGTTGAGGAAGTTGTCGACGTTCCGGAAAGTGGCTCTCTAATCGGTAGCGGGGACTCGGTGGTATCGGCGGAGGGGATAACTTGCACGAGTGATTCCTGTATGCTAGACTTTTTCAGACACGTCAAAAGGAAAGAAAGCTGTTTATCAAAGCATTAGATCGAAAGGTATTTTCCATCACTTTATACTCTCATGCCAACGCCGTCGGATTTGTCAGTTTGAAGTCTGATGGGCGTCGTGTGCAGTCGTGTGACTCACAGATAAATCTAGTGGGGGTTTACTGGGAAGCATCGACCCTCACTTGTAAGCACATGGCGTAAATATTGCCGCATCTGTACGTGAGTGCCGCATTTTCCGTTCGAGATGCCTGCGCAAGATACAAAAACTGGCGATACGAACCCCACTAGCACAGGAACGCTTCATTTGCCAAGACACTTGTCATTCTGTGATATGGGGTACCAGTCATGGGGAGCCATACAAAATGTTATCAAGGGTTTGGGGACCGTAACCAAGGCTCGGAGCTTACATTTTGAGCTTTGAAAATTTGATCAATGAAGCCTGGACCAAGCCAGGACAACATATGAGAAAGCGGATGAACTAGCTCGACGCGCTCCACAACAATCACGGCTCAGACCTGTGCGAGAGGCGCGCGCGATTCAACGGATAGTACTAGTACTAATAAGAGCTCGGAGTCCCAGATCCAAATCGGTTTAGGCGCGCGCGCGGGGGATTTTCGGGTCCCTGAGTGTGCTACTGAGTCCTTGAAGTACTGACTGACCAATAGACTGTGTTTGAGTGTCGGTATATTAATATTTAGGATGTTTATATCACTAGCCTGAGCACAGCGGTAACATGAGCATATGTCTCAAAAGGATGAATAATTCGGCAGGTTTACTGAAACGTGTACAGTGTCAGCATGTACGTGGTAGACGCCACTCCGAAAGGAATCGTCCGCGCTCATAGCTAGCGCTCAGCTGCCACTGGTAGCCAGTGGACACACGTGTGGTACCGCAGCTGCACGATTCCAGGAACCGGCACCCGTGTCAGCCATCAAGTTCGAGAACATGCCATTTGTCAAAGACTAGGCAGAACATTGTGCACAAATGGATTGCGTAAGTAGCCTATTAATTGCGTGCACCGTTCCAGTCGGTAACACATCAAACCAAAACTCTACTAGCGCAGAATCTCGTATATCATTAGCCTACTAGAACATATTCAATATTAAACCTAAAGTACAATGAAACACCGCCCAAAATATCGTCACTGAATCTTCCTTCTCTGAGCTTCCTCTAACACACTCTTCGGTCCGCGCTTCGCCATCGCCCAAAGAAAGATGACCACGACGATAGCGAACTGAAACCACAGCCACAGCTCTAAGACGAACGATACGAACCGTCGCTTCTGGGGCTTCTGAAGTCGCTGACGAAGGGAGGCTGGCGATGCAGAAGCTGTCCTTGGTTCATCACCTGTGAGACCGCGGGAAAGGGAATGAGTGCGATGGCGGCTTATGCTATCCACGAACTCGTTTACGAGTCTTTGAGGAACTGGAGTGGGAGGACGGGCGAGATCAGCAGAGCTCCCCCTCTGCGGAGCAGAGAGAAGTGTTGCTTCAAAGCGACCTTCAGTCCAGTGGTTTGTGCGCATGCGAATGGTGTGCGACTTGCGACACTTCTTGTCTGCAAGTGTTTCCACGTGCGCATTGGGCGGACTATACGTCAGGGGCTCAAGATCATGAACACCGTCTATTTTCAAGCTAACTTGCTCCGCAAACGAGGTGGAAGATGTGGAGGGAGTTGATATATAACTAGAAGACGGAGGAAAGGACAGCTTGTCTTTCGGGGAAAGTGTCCCGGAATCCGGAACGCCGACGGCGTTGCCAGCGGATAAAGGAGAAAGCGATGTAAGATCGATTAAACTTGGTGTGCGGAAGTGGTCGTTCTCATGACAGTTGTCCCATGCAAGCCCTAGCTCATTGTCAAGAGTCTGGGGGGCCGTGAAGTCTGTGGTAGGTAATACCGCAGCTAGAGGTGCTGGCAAGTCCAATTCTTCGGGGGTCACAGGTTCCGTAATGGGCTGAGGGACAAAAGGGACGGCCGATAGACCAGGGATAATCAGTGATTGTACAGACGGTGCATCACTGACATCAGATACAGTCGGAGAGTCAAATAATCCAACAACAGATCGACGTGTGCGATGATGTGCAGGTAGAGGGAAGAGCTCTGGAAGGATTGCATGCCGCATGCTACTCTGTTTGTCTGGTTCGATGCCGCTATCAAAATCAACCGAGGAATCCGCGAGCATAGACCGACGGAGACTGGCGAAACGAATTGTCTCGTCTTCTTCGTCATGTTCATTTTCCTCGTGGACACCGGGATTCTCGAAGCTGTCATCTTCAGCCAGCCAGTCAATGACATCGACATCACTAAGGCTCTCATATAGGAGCTGGATGCTTGCGGCATCTCTTTGAACCGACTGAAGCGATGCCGTCGTTTTTTCTTGCTGCACCGTTATTTGTGAATTAATATGTTCAAGCTCACGGATCTTTTGAAGGAGCTGCGACACGAGCGCATATTCAGGCGTTGCCGGGACTGGAAACTGAGTGGGGAGAGGAGACTGTAACTGGGGGAATGATCGAGAGGAACCGTTGTATAAAGACATCTTTCTTGAAAGCTTGCTATCCGTAGGGGCCGAACGAAAGATGGCTTCAGAAGCATGCCGGCGTAGACACTGCGATGGACGCTTGCGTTTCTCTGACCTGCCTAGCGCGGTAGATCTCTTCGAGACCCCTTGAGATGCAAGAGCCCCCCCTGGCGCAAAGTCTCGTACTTCTCCGTCATTCGCATCGCTCTCGCTCCTACCCCGTAGAGCGCGGACTCGCACCTCTCTCTCATGCCGCCTCTTTGACGCTTCCTCAGACTCGAGGCTGGGACTAACAAGTTTTGCCTTGTTCTCGAGCTCGTCACTCCTGGCACGAGTTGTTTCGAGCTCCTCTCGGAGCCCTTGAATCTCTTTCTCCAAACAGCGCAATTTTCGTCGTCCCGCTTGATCAGTCTGAACAGATTCAGATTCAAGTTTTTCTAGCTTAGCAAGGAGCTCAGCATTCTGATCGGAAAGTAGAGCAAGGTCCGCAGGGGAGACAGAAACGCGTCTCTGCGACCGGCGCGAGCGAGATACACTGGTGTTCGCGTGGGAGGAAGAGGTATTGGTATAATAATGGGGGGAGTGTGGAAGAGGTGTTCCGGGAGTAGTTGGAGAGGATGCCGAGGATCCGGATGGAGAGACAGACGCTGATGAAGTGGGCAAGCGAGCAAGAAGCGTCTTGTGCTTGTTCTGGAGCTCTAGATTATTTTCATACAATGATTTACAGACAGCTGTGGTGAAACTGAGTTCTACACAGGGACAACGATTTGAGTACATTTCTCTAGAATAAAGCATCAAAGGACACACCATTTTCTCGGTCTTTGATGAGCTCATCAGCTTTCAGGAGGAGCTCAGACAGCTCCTCACGAGACCTCCCATTCCAATTTTGAGGATGATTAGTAGGGATGTCATCCCATGCAGCGATTGCAGATGCGCCGTTGAAAGACTTTCGTTTCAGATCCGAGGAGTTATCCAGTGGATCATCAAGAAGCGATGTGGCAGCGTACGGAGGAGGTGGGGAAGTTTTGACGTGGGTGGAAATTCTTCGTACCCGACCTGGCGGCCGTGGCCGAGGAGTGGTCGTCACTGACGCAGACAGCATATGAGACAACTCAGAAGGTAGACGCAGATAACAGGTATAGCGGTCAAACAGACGAAGGGTCAGTCAACGCTCGGGTCTGATCCTCGTTAGCTGGTGCTTAGCACTGGTGATAGAGCGAAAAGAGAACAGGAGACTCAGTGATATGTTCTGTGACGTTTCGTGTCCCATACATATGAGACTTGTATGAAACAGTAGAAGTTCGGCTTAAAATTATCATTTACATTAAGACCGCGTTGTGAAGTTGCAGCTACTACGTGTCATGCATGTGTAACATAAATAAAGTGCTTCAGCAAGGCCGCCTGGCGAAATGGCATCGCGTCTGACTACGACTTTGTAATCAGGAGATTGCAGGTTCGACCCCTGCGGTGGTCATAATATTTTCCTGTATTTCGGGACACAGCTATTTTCTTCTGATCCGTGTAGCGTTGAAAATTCGAAAAATAACCGCATGAGACAATTGTCTGACTTTTGGAATTCGTGGAGGCTGCCAGCTTAAATTTAAGTTACATCGTTTGACATGGTAACATAAGGAACTTTAAAGTCCATCTCACAGTCGATATTACTATGCACGAACTCACTTTCCAAGGAAGCCACGACTAATATTAATTCAATGCAGCATGAATGATAAGAATAACAACACATGTCGATGTCTGGTGAGTTTGAACTGAAATATCAAACTATCAAATGTGACAGCGGCGCTCCGCGTTACTCGATGCATCGCATATTTTACACACCAGGGTCTAATTCGCCCAACAGCATAGTTCCGTCCTTGCTGCCAGTAAGAACTGTAGACACGTCAGTAGAAATCAACCAGACAAAAGGGAAATCTTACTGATAGGTTCTTTTGGGTGGAAGTCTACACAAGTGACTGTGCCCCTGTGCCCCGGCAGCTAAAAGATGGTAAGTCACATGCAAGAAGTCGAATGGGATAACACCAACCTTGTACAACACACGCCCACTGTCGACGTCCCAAACACACACCATCCGATCCGCACCACCAACCGCAACCCGTTGTCCTCCATCGTCCTTGCTCCATGCACCTTTCAAAAGCGTGTTCTCGAAACCAGCTGGAGCACCCTGCAACACACGGTGTATCCTCGTTGGCGAGGGCGAAAACGGGCGTACATCATGAATGACGGTATGAGATGAGAATGAAGGTGAGAGGAGGTAGGCACCATTGGGTGATAATGCAAGCGACGTCGGCGTGTCCGTATGACCAGTCAGAGCATAAACCTGCTCGCCCTTGCGCAAGTCATATACATGAATCTCGTTGTCTAGCGCGCCGATATAGAGGTTCTGCCCATCCGCGCTCCACGCGACACTCGTCGCTGGACATCCGAGTTCAAACACTGCAATGCTGCTCTTCGAACCATCTTCTCCACCCTCCCACACACGTACAGTTCCATCGTCCGAGGCGGTGGCAATGAGCTCGATGCCAGCACCGCCTGCCATAGTCCGGTCCAGCGCGTTTATGATTCCGCGATGAGCACGAATTTTTCTTGTTCGCTGGCCGGTGGTAAGATCCGTAAAGGACAGCATTTGGTCTGCGGATACGGTATAAAGGAGCGGTGAGAAGAGGGACCATTGAAGGTCAAGAATGGGCGCTTTATGGTGGCTAGAGAGGAGGCCGTAGTTGGTATTTGGTGGATACGTCCTCCACAAAGCTATACCTCACTTGTAAACAGTTCGCATAAAACACTCAGAGATGTCACGTACAGACGCTTCGGTCCGCTGAACAAGCAGCAATGTTTTGCCCAGTAGGGTCAAATCTACAGCTCAAAATTTCCGCCTTCGAACTCATTAATACACCATCCTAAACGAAAATTGTTTACAAGTCTCACCGAGTGAGATCCGCTCAAGCTAACGATAGGTGCTTCTAGGTTGCTTGTGCGCTTGACGCTTCGTATGAGACCTTTCTGTCGGTCATCGTTGCCAGATGAAATGATAATTTGGTTTTGAGCAGGGGAGTTCGAGCGCGCTCTTTTAATGAGAGTTCCTTCTGTAGATGGCGGTGGAGATGCGCCTCGTTTTGACATCGTGACCGGGTGCGGATGCTGTGAGTTCAAGACGTAGACTCGTCAGTCAGTGAATGAAGAAGTTCAAAGTCTCGAAGACAGAAGTGGTCACGTGATTTATTGTTTTGCAATAAAGCAGCGGTGAAAATATCTACAAGTAGTATCTATGTCAGATCTAGGGACTACTCCAAGAACTTTCTAACATGGATCAGAAATGGTCCAGGTCTCCTCAAAGAGCGAAAATATACAACGATCGCTCTAGTATATATGCCTGCGCTGCTCAGCCGCCCACCTCACAGCATCACTGCGCCCCTTCGTGACATCAACCCCAAACCAAATCACCACAGAGGCAACCGTGCACATCGCAAATAGGAAGGGAAAACCCTGCCAGTTGTTTCCCGTCTTGTCGATGATGACTTGTATGACATTGGGCCCTACCATGGAAGAGGCGCGGTTGAACAGTCCGAAGAGACCGAAGAACTAGTTATTGTGAGTGAACGCGATGGGAACGAGAAAACCGAATTACACACCATGTTTTCAAAACCTGGCGGACTAAGTTCGGCCATCATTGTCAGAGAGTACGCGTAATAGGGAGCCTGGAAGAGACCAAACATCACGTTGTACGCCCTGATGAGAATATAAAAACACAACGAGACAGGCGCATAGTCTTGACAAACCAGAACTCCCATACGTTGTGGAACCTAATGCACTCCTTAGAGGGATGATGATATCATGAAACAAATCAAATAACACCGACCCAAATTTTTCTGTCCATATTCCGATCATACCCCATAGTGGAATCAAAATCGTCACGACATTTGTGACCACAAACTGTGTCATTGACAGTCAAATAAAGATAGCACAAGGTAGCGATACATACCATCTTCTTTGTGCTGATCTTCCAATATTTCTGGATGTACCAGAAGGCGAGAGTGCTGATTGTCGAAGTTATTGCTTGAGACAAGCCCAGGTAGGTATTTTGTAGGAACGAGAAACTGAACTTGTTGTTCTGACATATGCCAACAAGGGTTCCAGTAGTATTGAGCCCCTGTCAAAAAATATGTCAGGTGCGGCTTGAGATACGGACAACCAAACAGTACGTCTGCAAGAAGAAAGTAGGAGGACAGATACACAAAGGTGTAGGGAAGATGCTTGTATGTTTTCAGCGCAGCCCAGATCTAACGTTTGCGTGAGCAAAGTTCACGGTATCCCGATAGATGCCTACCTGCTTCCATCCAATTGTCAGGTAATGTTCACCTTTAGGCAAATCGGGGCCTGGTCTAGATTCCTGGAAGATAACTCAAAGGTTCTCAGCAGGAAGCCCAGAAAGACTAGCCAATGTTTATTCACACCACCAGATACCTAATACCACCCAATATGTGTTGACGCTACATATCAATCGGTCAATCGATGCAATGACTGGAACTCGCAAACGATAAAAACTCACACCACGATCACATAATTGTCCACCTTAGGGTTGTTCGCCATTGGCAGCAAAAGCGCCAAGTTCAGCAATAGTGTGGTTACAAACCCGACATTGCTATGAACCTGTACAAAAGATAGTCAGCTCGTGACAACAACACGAAGCCTTACACAAGACGCACAGTAAAAATATCGGTGATCCTATTCTTTTCCAACGACTCCTCTTGATCGTAAACTTCAGGAGAAATCTCGCCGTTTTCATACTTCTCTCTCAACTGGCGTACACGTGGTGTATTTCGCGCGAGACGAGGGAATAAAGCAGCATAGAAAACTAGAGTAATACTGTATGAGACGAAACTGATGATGGACAGAATCATCGCAAGGACCCATCGATTTGGTGCTGGTGCACGAAATGATCAGACTTTAGAAAATGCGTGGTACCCGGAAACTCACTGGTAAGTGTCATACAAGCATACTGTGCAGCCCAACATACTACTGTGATAGCGAACAGCAACCACCGTCCGAATGTACCATAGTCAGCAGCAGAACCGATAGTAGTTAATATAGCTGTCATGATGGCGAAACTAATACCATCTGCAGTCAGCACCACACTGGAAACTGACTTTGTTCCGCTACCCCAGGGAACTACGCATTGACCAGAAGCAGTCGTTGCAAGGCATGACGAGCCGGGGCCTACGACGGGATCATATCCCGCCGCTGTGGCGAGCCCTTGGAACAGGGTCTGTGTATAGCCCAAACCGACACCCTGGTTGGAGGCACGTGAGATAAGTAGAGTGGGGGATACGCGAATACCTGAACTGACTCACGTTACCACCGTTAGAGTACACTGATGTTTAGCTTAATCAAGGAATGGTGGGGAGGAAGCACGTGTATTGGAACGCACAGTAATAGCTCAACAACTCCCTTCTGGTCACGAGCGGTTCATCCAAGCCGATCGATGAGATAGCAATGTGGTTCGCGTCCAGGTCAGACCTGATATCCGCAACCTGTTTTACATCAGCGTGGAAGGGACGGGCTAAGTCTTCCGAAGGAGGTATTGTGGACATGGCGGTCGAGAATGAGCTCGTAGACCGAACAAAGATGCGTGATTGGCCATATCACATGTGTGCTCCAAACCTCTCTTTCGCATTTACTAATGGTTACGCGCGTACCTTATGGGGCAAAGGCTGAGCTAGTGTTGTAGGGCTATTTTGAAGCAGTTCTGCCGGCAGAACTGGCAAAATTCCTCGGCAAAACTATGTTCTGCCAGGTGGCAGAATTTGCATCGGTGTAAGACCAGTCCAAGTCTTTGCATCGTGGTTCGGTGACTGATAGCACTAGTCCCTCCGAGTCAACCGCGTGGTGGTTTCGCAAAGTCGAATGCTCTCTCTTCTGATACTTCTGTCCCATTTACAATGTACATCCCAGTCCAAGGCAAATGCTCGGTGCATCGTTATTTACCCATTACAAATGTCTTCTAGTCGAATGGACTCAGCATGCATTGTCAAGCGAGATAGATTCAAGATGGAGCTGACGTCGCTGGAGACTGGCAACTGTGGTGGAACAACATACTTGGCAACTTCGGTATTGCGGCCCGGCTACAATTAAAGCCGGTTTTGTTTCCTAGTAAGCATAGTATCATCTTTCGTCATGCTTTCGCGGAGAGATATAGAAACTGGACATTCAAAAGTATAAACCGACATAACCCAAATTGTCAGGCCAGTCTGAAAACGTCAACATCCAAAGTCGCTGTTAA